TTAATTTAACAATTCTAGTGGAACCGATTGAATATAATAATGGTTAGAAGTTTCTTTTTGTTTTATTTAAAATTGAATTATTGAAATAAATAATGAACCAACCAATGGGAGACTTATAGAATTGAGCCAAGTTTGACAATTGACCATTATTTGACAAATTCCAAATTTGACCATGACTGAAATGGTCTGCCTTCGTAAACGGTCATGTTTCCACTGGCCACTGTTCAATATCACTTTTCTCTTCATTATCTGTGGTTCACCATTTTTTTTAATCGCCAACAACATTAGTAAACCTCGGTAGAAGGAATAATTATGAGTTTATAAGGAATAGATGTTACGAGAGTATGGAAACCTCTTCTTAGCAGAATCGTTTTTAAAATTTTGAAAGGAAGTTCGGAAGAGAAAACCTAAATAGGACAATATCTAATAGCGGTAGGCTCGTAGAGTCAGACACCGGGCGATGTGCCTGCAACAAGGTTGAGCTCCAAAAAGAGGTGGACACGAGTCGGTTTGACAATCCGATGAAATGGGCTGGAATTTTAGATGTGAATGAATTCGTCTAACCTTACAGTTCTCATCCCATGCGTAATGGGCCTCAGAGCCCATCATCATCGGCACCGATCCAACAATTTCATACTTTTATTTAATATTTTTAAATTGGAACCCATAAAAAAAATTATTATTTTTAACTGGTAATTAATATCAATATTTAGACTATTTAATACACATTTTTATTATTGATATTTTGATTAATTCATGCTTAATTTCGTTTTAATTAGGTAATTAAAGTATTTAATTTTCAAGTTAATGTTTAATAATGATTATTTATGTTTATATTAACTAGTTAATTCACTTTTTATTTTCTTACCTTTAATTAATTAGTTAATTAGAGTTGTCGTAAAAAGTATTGAATAGACATTAATTATTTTGCATGGATATTTAATACCCATACCCATATCCATTTACAAGGAAATAAAACTTATAATTCCGGGGTTATCTGTGCATTTTGAAGAGTACAAGGGTTTAATTGTAATAATAATTTGAGGAGTGGTTGATCTGATAAATATGTGGTCGAAACAAAGACACAATTTAGGGTTTTTTTTTAATTTATAATTTCTTAAAAATAATAATTAATTGTCAAACTCAAATGGGAGCATTAGAATCCCCTGTTTTAAAAAAAATTAATACCAAAAAATACATAATTTATAACAAAATATTTTTTTATATAAAGCACTTTTTATCTAAAATTAATAAAAATTATATATATATATTTTTTAAATTTTCATTATTATTGATTTGAAAACTCTATTTTGTTCTCACATGTACATATACTTTTATATTTGCATGTAGACTTATATTTAAATATCCGAAACTTTTATTTATTTTTTTTTATATATTACTATATATAGGTTTAAATAATAATAATAATAGTATTATTATTATGATATGTGTTATTTATCGTCCACCCACTCAACCCAATAATTCACATATATATATATATGAATTTATGTTTAAATAAAATACAAAAATATGTGTATATTTCATATTTTAAAAATACAATTTTGAGCATCTACCGTTATAAATCAAAACTACATCCTATTTTCTTTTAATTTCTCGCTTAAAACAACATTTATTAAATATATATAATATATATATATATAGCAAGTTGGCGCATTTGATATATTTAGGTGTCCAGTTGAGTATGATGTGAAAGGCATGTATCTTTCCACTGTCAAGGGAGTTCCTCTCCCTCGGGATTGTTCCTTATAATTTAGAAAATATATATTTTTATTAAGTGGGTTTGGTGGCTACAAAATATCAACATTAAATCCAAATATTACAAATAATTCTAATCACCGCCACTTTGGGTTTAGGCTTTGTGTGTATATATAACAGCATCTCAATATTTAAAATATATCTCATTTTTATGTTGCTTTCTTTATTTCAAATATTTATTATAAAGTTTTATTTCTACTCCAACCCCAAAACCATACAATATATCCCAATTTTATTTTTTTTAATAATGTTCCACTAAATATCACGAATATAAAACTTTAATTTTTTTTAATCTCGTAAATTATTTCAAACGCACCAATAATGTTTTATATTACGAAAAAGTTAAAGGAAAGTAGAAACATACAAAAACATTTGATTGTTAGTATCTATGTTATAAATAAAAAAAAAAGATAGTTGAAATTCAAGTGTTCAACACTACGAGAGTCAACAAAATAATTTAAAACAAATAAAATTACTAAATTGCCCTTGGTAGGCTTTGTGGGGATGGAGGTAGGTGGGGAGTGGAGATGAGTCAGCTTCGAAATTTAACTATTATAAGTGAGCCATCACAATCGAGTTGGAACTCAATTGTATTTTCAATACGAAATTATTATTGACTCATGGGTTCGTCTCGAGCTCTTTATCGAAATGTCGATGTGAAACTTAGGAAGCCTCGTGAATTTCGAACGCTACCTATTACTTTCATTTTCAGATATGACTTATTTTGAAAAGAGGGGAAAAAAATATTGGAAATAGTTGATATTATTAAAGATAAACTTGGAAGATTTAAATGATTGGATATAAAAAAAAGGAAAAAAACAGCGTGGGAAATGGGAGTGGATGCCAGCAAGATATTATAAATGACACGTCAGCAAAGAACTTAGTTCCAAAAAAGGTATCAATAATAGAGCATGAGAATGTATTATTAAATTTATTTAAAAAATATATAATAATAGAGTGTATTGGTGATGATGCTGCTGCTGCCCACTGGATTATAATTAACAACTCTTTCTCTCTCCTCTTTCTGATTCGGATTTGAGTTTGCTGCGTCTCGGTATCATCTACGCAAAGGATAAGACCCTAAACAATCTCCAATATTTCAGTGTTCAAAAACATGTTTTTTCTCTCCTAATTTTATATTAAACTAATATTAGTTCAATTTAAAATATAAAAAATAAAAAATTTAAATTTTTTTATTTTTGTTTTCCAAATTTTAAAGATTCTTTTTAAAGTATCCATAAATAAAAATTAGCGGAATAGATAAATTTATGAGTGGTAATAGTATTTACATGTTTATATATTTTAAGTATTGTCGTCATTTTATATTAAAAATAGTACATCTTTTGTCTAAAAATTAATTTAAATGTTTTAATAATATCCACTGACTTAATTAATACGCATATTGTTATTATGAGATGAAAATCATTAATATTTTATATAAAAAATACTATTAACCCTAAAAAAAACGTTTAAACAATATATGTTTTTAAAAATAAGTTTTCAAAAGTTTCATTATTATTGTTCTTTTATTTTTCTAAAAAAAACTTCCAAACATCTTTTTAAACTTTTTTAACGACTTTACAAATACCTTTAAACTTTTTTATAATAATAAAAAAAACAATTTAAACTTTTTTTTTAAACTTCACAAACACGTCTAAATTTTTTTATAAACTAAAAAAATACAATTTTTTTCTTTAACTTCGAAAATACTATTCTCGTTAATACCATGTTTCTAAAATACTTGCAGACTTTTATAAGTAACGTTAAAAAGTTTGGAAATAATCTATGAGATGTCGATAGCCGATTTTTTTTGTTCATATATTGAGGGTAATAAAATTTTTGAATTTTTTTTACAGACATAAAGTTCAAGAGTATTTATAAAACAACGTATTACCAATTTCCATCTAAAACTACGGTAACAATAATTTTGATATATATATATATATATATTAATGTTTAAGAGTATTATTAAAACTTTTGAAAGTTTAAGTGTATTTTTAGACCAACTACAAAGTTTAGAGATATTTTTATTAATTTAGCCTAAATGAAATAAGTGTAAGAATTTTTTAAACGTGTACCAAAAGTGTCTGTTTTAAAAATACAAAGCTAAAATAAATATTTTAAAAGTATGAACAAAATTGAAAATTCATAGATGAAAATAAACATTTTTTAAAATACCAAGACCAAAATGATGTCGAGAAAGAACGGGAAAAAAATTGTGGGATTAATTACTATTTCTATAAACAAAAAATAATAATAATTATTAGTTGGAGTTGTAGACTATTGGTATTTATTTTAGGTATTATATTATTGTATCGAAGCTATGGCTAAAAAAGAGATTATAAAATCTGTTAAAGACACGACGTTACTACATGTCATAAAGGTGTTTACAATAACTTTGCATTTACCTTATTAAATATTCTATTCGCTTGTTTCACAGTAATATGAATTAAAATATTTTAAGATTATGTCAATGACTATTTTAGATTTTAGATTTTTTATTTTTAAATTGTATTTGTTTACACATTATTTCTTAAAACTTTATTTTTAAAAATAGATAATAAAATACATTAAATTGTAGCTATATGAGCGTGGACCCATTTTTCATTAATAATCTTATTAAAAACTAATAAAAACATTTATTATGGGATAATAAATTAAACTGATACTTAATATTATTTTACTTTAAAAACCATTTGACAGCTAAGAAAAATAGATTATTAGTGGCTACACAGCGTAAAAATATCCTAACAACAATTAAAAGGAAATATTCCTGAAACTATAATAATTACATGAAAATGTAGGGTCAAGAGTGTGATAATTCTGAAATGATGTCCTTATAATGCAAATGGTAAAAAAAAAAAAAAAAAAAAAAAAAAAAAAAAAAATTATTGTGGTGACCCAATGCCCCTAATGACGAACTCTTTTGTCTATTACCAAAAGCTGCGGCCCCTATCAGCTATCACTTCCTCTTCCATTTCGCGCGCCACTTATCTAATAGACTTGCCCCTATCGCTCCTTTTATCAATTTTAAACTTTTAATGCGCATTATCATAATTATCGGTAATAATTAAAATTTTAATTTTATTATTATTATTATTATTATTATTTTTTAATCAAAATTGTTAACGAGAGGGGAGCGCACGTGGTGTCCACCTGTCACGGACGCCTATAAATATGCCCATTTCGCCTCCTTTCTACTTCAGTAACAGTTCTTATTTTCTCTTTTCCCCCTTTTCTCCTCTTTGATTCAGGTGCTCTAAATCGGGTTTTTCTTCCCTCTCTTCTGAGAGATCGTCTCGTTTTGGTTTGCTGATCTGTTTCTTGGAGAAACCCTGGATTCGGGACGGGAATCTACTTCTTCTGGTTTGATTTTTCTGTCATTCCTTTTTGCTTTGTTGATTGTGGTGTATTGAGAGGAGTTGGCATCGAAGAGAGTCTGTGTGTGGCGGCGGAGGAGAAACAGACAAGGCAGGGTGCCAGTGATCTTGCTGTATGTCAGTGGATTGTGTTGAGACTTACTGTTGCGGAATTGGCAAGCTCAAGAATCCTTTGCAATGGCCTCAGCTTCGAAAAAAGCGACGTTTTCAACTGATGCTTGTTGCCATGCGAGTGGTGCCGGTTCTACTTCCGTTCCTCGAGAGGCTGCGCCTCTTGTTGCTTCCGCCAATGCCGTCCAAGATTGGAACGTGCCCTCGAACGATCGCGCCGACGATCGCCGTACCAAGAATGTTGCCATGCCGTCGTTAATTCGTCCTGTCGATGCGATTCCTGAATCTTCCACAAATGCTTCCGCCAAAGGCACGTTTCTTCTTCCCTGTCTCTTGTATTTCGATGATTTTTTGTTCTTCTCACGCTTATCTCCCTGATTGATGACCTGGAATCTCGACATAAAGCTGTGCTTGATATGACGTTCCGTGACTTTGATCTATTTTATTGTTTTTTCCTTGGGGGCCGAAATTGAGATTTTATTGTCATGTCCTTGTCGTTTAGAGCTCCGTAACGTAAATGCATTTACTGTGAGTTTATCATATTTCCGTCGGTGTAAGCATCGTTTGTTTTGTATGCTATTATTGAATCATTTTGGGGAAGGGAGAGAGACTGCGTGTGGGATTTCGCATTATCCTTTTCTGTTCTGCGACTTTGGAGGCCGTAGTTACCACTTGCTTACCCTATCATACATTGTCTAAAATTTCAAAATTTACCACTTATGGGACCCTTCTTTTGCCTTTTCATTTATGGCCTCAAATTCACGACCTTTTATGAAAGTCAATTATGCAGGTGCCATGTGGAAATAAGAATGGGTTGAGCAAGGGAAGATAAAGTTGGATTGGTGAAATCTGACATTTTAGTAGCCACTTGTTTCTTTCCGTTCTTTTTCTGCCCATCCACCATAAGGTTTTCTAGAAGCTACTATTTATTTTCTCCACTTCCTCGGTGCTTCTACTTTTTCCCGCATCCTCTAGTTCATCTTATCAAGATAAATCTCAGTACAACTTACTGGATTTGTTCCTTAACCCTTGATTGTTCCCAGCTCCTTATTTCGTCCATTTTATAGGACGAAGTTTTTTTTCACTTATACGTGCTCTATATTTTTTCTTACGTTTTCTTGATCTAATTTCTATGCTCATATCTCATACACTGTTGCTAGTCTGAATTAAAGGTACAGTAGATGATTGATGTTAGTATCTTCCATAGATTTGATCATGATTCCTTTTGTTCACAAAATATATTCCCCCACCCTTTTAATGATGGTACGAGCGTTTCTTGTAGATGATTTCTCATGCATTTCTGTTAATTGGTTGTACAGTTGTTCCCCCGATGTTGAGGGCACAATCAAGACATCCTCTTGATCCTCTGTCAGCTGCTGAAATCTCGGTTGCAGTGGCAACCGTCAGGGCAGCTGGAGCTACGCCAGAGGTTGTTACTGCTACTATGCAATCCATTTTATGGCTATTGAATTTGGATTGGTATATTGCTTGTGATTGTGATGAGCTATTTTCATTGTTTCAGGTCAGAGATAGCATGCGCTTTATTGAAGTGGTGCTACTGGAACCCGAAAAACATGTTGTTGCCTTGGCAGATGCATATTTTTTCCCTCCATTCCAACCATCCTTACTTCCTAAAACTAAGGGAGGACCCGTTATTCCCACAAAGCTTCCTCCAAGAAGGGCAAGGATTGCTGTTTACAATAAGAAGTCAAATGAGACAAGCCTATGGATTGTTGAGTTGTCCGAGGTTCATGCAGTAACCCGAGGTGGACATCACAGGGGAAAAGTTATATCTTCTACAGTTGTTCCCGAGGTTCAACCTCCCATGGTATGTTTTTAACGCCTGTTATTTACTGCACGTATTTTCACGAATAGTGTCTTTATCATAGGAGTATTTGCTTTTTGAAAGCTCCAAAGCATCGTTACATTTACTTTTGCCGGTCACTTAAATTGAATGTGAAATATCAATAGTTGTTTGTTGCATTGCGGCTTTGTTTGGGGTGAAAAACTGTTAGGATTGAAAAATGAAGAACAACTTTTCATTTACAAATAATATCAGAATAGTTTTTCAATTAGAAGGATATTGAGTGCTTGGATATTAAACTAATTTGCTCATTCCATCCTATTTTAGGATGCTGCTGAATATGCAGAATGTGAGGCTATTGTCAAAGAATATCCTCCATTCATAGAGGCTATGAAGAAGAGGGGTATTGAAGATATGGATTTGGTTATGGTTGATCCTTGGCAAGTGTTATCAATAATCCAGTTCATTATTTGTATTTGTCACGGTTTATCAAGTGCCACACCTTTGTGTCTAATATGATTAATCTCTCTTTGCTGCAGGTGTGTTGGTTATCACAGTGAAGTCGATGCTCCTTGTCGAAGACTTGCTAAACCTCTTATTTTTTGTAGAACTGAAAGTGACTGCCCAATGGAAAATGGATATGCTCGCCCAGTTGAGGGCATACATGTCCTAGTTGATATGCAAAATATGGTGGTTATAGAATTTGAAGACCGAAAGCTTGTTCCACTACCTCCTGCTGATCCTTTGAGGAACTATACTTCAGGTGAAACAAGAGGTGGTGTTGATCGTAGTGATCTGAAGCCTTTACAGATAGTTCAGCCTGAAGGTCCAAGCTTTCGTGTCAATGGCTACTATGTAGAATGGCAAAAGGTGGATGTTATGGTGGTTTCTTTTCTTTAAAAAAATTTATTATAAATTTTGCTTGGTTCATAATTTGACTTGATTTTTTTTCTTTTGGGTCTTTTCTTTTCCCTTTTGACAGTGGAATTTTCGTATTGGTTTCACTCCTAGAGAGGGTTTGGTTATATACTCTGTAGCTTATGTTGATGGCAGCAGAGGGCGAAGGCCTGTAGCACATCGACTAAGTTTTGTGGAAATGGTCGTCCCATATGGAGATCCAAATGATCCACATTATAGAAAGAATGCTTTTGATGCAGGAGAGGATGGACTGGGCAAAAATGCGCATTCTCTGAAGAAGGTTTGAATTTTTTTTTTTTTGCTCCACATTCATATCATGTGATCAAGCTATAGGAGTGTCTTCTTGATCCAATCCAATTAAATGTTAATAAATCATTGTCACAGGGATGTGATTGTCTGGGTTACATCAAGTACTTTGATGCTCACTTCACAAATTTCACTGGTGGTGTCGAAACAATTGAAAATTGTGTGTGTATGCATGAAGAGGATCATGGAATTTTGTGGAAGCATCAAGACTGGAGGACAGGATTGGCAGAAGTTAGAAGATCTAGGCGGCTTACTGTGTCCTTCATTTGTACTGTGGCTAATTATGAGTATGGATTCTTTTGGCACTTCTATCAGGTAAGTTGAAGGCATTTCTTTCTCTTTCAAGATTGGTACTGACCAAGTCTTGCAAAATTCCTTCAATAGCATTCTCGAATAAGATTTTAGCTTTATGTTTAAACAGATAACCTTAAATATACTGCTCGTGACCATGAAATATAGAATCGGGAAACACCCCACACAATGTTGTTTTCCTCAAGTTGGGAAAATGAACGCCTCTTTGTTTTGGGCATAAGAACACCCTGGATTAGTAATGATTCTAATTTTCACCGGTGCTTTAAAAATTTAACCTGCTTGGGACAGGCAACTTTTCATATAGCTAAAGAATGTATAAAAATTGTTTCTACGGGAATTATATCAGTACAAAGTTTCTATTTTTAGTCTCTTAACATTTTCTCTACCAACGCTCTTTCTTAATTTTTTTCGTTAGTGGAGGTTTGCTGATATGTAAATGATATTACAGGATGGGAAAATTGAAGCTGAAGTCAAATTAACTGGAATTCTGAGTCTAGGAGCCTTACAACCTGGTGAATATCGAAAGTATGGCACAATGATTGCACCAGGTTTGTATGCCCCAGTGCACCAACACTTCTTTGTTGCTCGTATGGACATGGCCGTTGATTGCAAGCCTGGTGAAGCTTTCAATCAGGTGCGTCTTTAACCTTGGAAAGTTGCCGAGTGTATATATACCAAATGCGCTAATGGTAAAAAGATATCTAATGGCTATTGGATTCAATCATTCAAGCTAGTGTCGTATTAGTTTTCTATCAAATAATGTAGGATGGAATGACAATTTTCAGTTTTTTAACTTGGTGAATATAGAAAGATCACAGAGATTTTAGGAATCAGAAGAGAAGACCAATTGTATTTCATAATGAGTTACATCATGTAATAAGGCTTTTGGATTCATCCATGAATGTTTTGAAAAAATCTTATACATAGTTGATTTCACTACATTGGTCATCGTTCTTCTTGTATTAAGACTTTCCCACTTAACACGCTCGTAGGTAGTTGAGGTGGATTTGAAAGTTGAAGGACCTGGGGAGAACAATGTCCACAACAATGCCTTCTACGCTGAAGAGACACTGCTGAAGTCTGAAATGCAAGCTATGCGTGATTGTAGTCCTTTGACCGCTCGCCACTGGATAGTAAGGAACATTCTTCTGCTGGCTCAATACTTCTAGGCTATTGAACTCAATTTCATGAGCAACATTAAGACTTTTGGAAACCAATGTTTTCTATTATATATTGTTCTTTCACTTTCTTTGCTTGTTCTTCAAAAAATGTTTAAAGAAATCATCTATGAAGCTAGAGACTTGTGCATGCCTAAGTGTAGAGAAGACATAGATATATAAGTTTATTTAGTTTTAAAATTTTCTTTATTGCTTTTAGTTTGACACTAAATTATTAGAAGGTGATTTCAATCTTTCTATCGTACGGTTGTGACTGAGTAAATATTGGTCCTTTTGTTCCAGGTGCGAAATACTAGGACTGTTAATCGAACTGGGCAGTTAACAGGGTACAAGCTATTGCCTGGTTCAAATTGTTTGCCATTAGCTGGTTCAGAGGCCAAGTTTCTTAGAAGAGCTTCTTTCTTGAAGCATAATCTTTGGGTGACTCAATATTCACGTGATGAGATGTTTCCTGGAGGGGAGTTTCCCAATCAGAATCCTCGGGTTGGGGAAGGATTGTCTACATGGGTCAAACAGAATCGCCCCTTGGAAGAAACTGATATAGTCCTTTGGTCAGTTTCCTTTCTTCTTCTGTTTCCACGTTTGACATATTAGCTCAGCTGCTTATTTAAGATTTTCTGTGCATGTTTTTGCATTCCTTCCTTGATGTCATGTTAATTTTCACCTGTTCTTTTTGTGCAGGTACGTATTCGGGATCACGCACGTTCCTCGGTTGGAAGACTGGCCTGTTATGCCTGTGGATCACATTGGCTTTTTGCTCATGGTATTTCTATCTATTTCTGTATCTTGTGCAAAGCATTAGTGTCAATTTATGGTATAGTTTTTCTGATCCTTTTTGTTGTAATGTTTGTGGATGATGCAGCCACACGGGTTCTTCAACTGTTCTCCTGCTGTTGATGTCCCGCCCAGTACTTGCGAATTAGATTCAAAAGACGCCGACGCTAAAGAAAATGGAGTGGCGAAGCCAATTCAGGCCCCCATTATGGCAAAGCTTTGAACTGTGTGATCATCACGGCTCCTTTCCTTCTAAATTTTATATTCTATTGTCCGTTCTTAAGTCCAGTGGGTTGCTTCCCCTTCCCCTTCCCCTTCCCCTTCCCCTTGTTAATAGAACAATATGTGTCTAGTTTTCTGAACACTTGAACGTTATCGATATGCATAGTATGATGTTGAGAGTAATGGCATCTACCTACAAAGTCTAGTTGTTTTGTTGAAAGTTTGTGTGAGGTGTCCTGTTTTTCTATGGCGGCAGGCAAAACACATATCCCTCTTCTTGTTTTCTCTGCCTCCATAAACCCATACAAGGAATATCTATCCTTCAAAGATTGATATCACTCAGGATTTTCTTTCCTTTTCTTTGATCTCCATGATTGTTCAAACAAGGGCACAGCAGGCATCCTTTGCCTGGTCAATTAAAGTCAAATCTTAATAAGGATGGATGGTGTAACTTTTCTTCAACTTTGCCATTTTAACTTTCAGGGGAATTTGAAGGAGCAGCCAGCCAGCCACACACACCACCATCATTATATTTGTTGCGTAATCAGTGGCTCCTTGATTACAGCAAACAATTTGATTTAACAGTCCTTGAAACTTTGTGAAGCTTTACATATAAGATAAGAAGGCCGAAAAAGGCAGAGGCTTTTCCCTAAAGTTAAGGACACCATCACTGTTGGTTAAAGTCACTGTCAAATAGAACTCTCTCTTTTAGTGCCTTTCCTTACAGACTCATATTTAGACTATCTTCTTGTCGGCACACTTAATTTATTACCCAAAAAAGTTTGCATCGAATTGGGTGGTTGGATGGATGAATTTGACCAAATTGGCAGAGAAACCTTTTTGAAGACTCTTTGTTTCGGGACCAAAAACTTTAAAAGGCTTACATGAAAGACAGTTTAGCAGAGCATATGATTCTTATATGTAATGATTTTGCTTGTAATCTTGTATTTCAGTTGACCTTCAAAAAATTAAAATTTGAAAGAAAAACGTATCAATCATTCATATGACGTAGCAAAAGTTGTGTGTGTGTGTGTGTTGAAAACAGAGGGGGTCGGTTTGATTTGATTGGTTATTATTGAAAAGAACAATTAGCAGTTCCATCTTGTCCAACCCAAATTGTACCTGCGGTTGGTTCTGCCTTTTCTTCTCACCCATTTTTTCTCTCTTGATTCAACGAATCACAACCCATAATCATACCATCATATCCAATTCACTTTCTTTAAGGGTTCGTAGAAACAGTTGTTGTTCATCTTATTATGATCCACTGAACCAACAAAACCCCAAGAAAATTGACACAAAATCAACAACGGAGCTCTGTTACGCTTACAGACAGAGTTAAAACATACTCTCTCTCTCTCTCTTACTTTTAATTGTAGTAGCAGCAGGTGTCTGTAGTGTACCCAGAAAATCAAAACGAAACGTACAGCAGAATCTCCTCCCTCTCTCCAATAATGGATCATACAATACAAACCAAGTATTACACCTTTTCGGAGGGCCTCATGCTCCTAATTCATGCCCATCAACATTCCACAACTAACGAACACATACTGTTTGTATGGAATGGAAAACAACCCATTATCGCTTATATTCATTCTTATTACAATAATATGAAGCATAAGCAATATGGTTTAGTTTTCTTTTCACTCACTCGATCACATCAAATACCCTTTCATTTCAACCCTCTCTATGGGAAACCCTCTTTCACTATCAACAATCTCACCGTTAACAAAAACTAAATAAAAAAATAAAATAAAAAATACCGAAATGCAATCTCTGGTGGACGAATTTACATTTCATATCTGATGGAACACTCCAAAGCTCCCTCCTCCTGCGTTTTCTGACATTGACATTAAGGGATAGCTTCCAAAATTTGATGAGTTATTTTGAGTTTGAATCATCTTCGTTTCTTCCCTTGAAGAACTTCCCTTCATCAATTCCATGTTTTTCACTTCATTTGTCTGAAACTGAAACAAACTCTCCAGTTTGTTCTCAGCTTCCCATGAAAATCCCCCGTTGTTCAGCTTCCCATGGAACCCTGAATAGTTGCTCACCACCGAGCTATTGCTTGAGCTCTCTTTCACTTCATTCATGAAGAATGAGCTCAACCCAGATGCTGAATTCTCTGAAAAATCTGTTCTTGACGTGTTCCCATGTTCAGAACTCGAATAACTTGGCATCCCAAAGCTTGAATTTGAGTACAAAAAGTTTTGGTCACATGATCTGATGTTGGACTGGTGTTGAATTTGAGCACCAAAGTATGAGCTGAGAGAGTCGAATTCAATCTTGTTTACAAAGTGGTGCGATGAGTCTTCTATTTGTTTGTAGTGATGATTTGAATCATTCGAAGAAATGGTGAGGTTGGAGATATTCCCATGAAGATGATGAGGCGCTGCTTCCATTCTTGGCTTCTGATCTTGCATGCCTTCCATATTCTCCTCCAATGGCTTGTGGGTTGCCGGGTCGATTCCTTGCTTCATCAGCTTCTTTTTCAGACATGAATTCCAAAAGTTCTTAATCTCATTGTCTGTTCTTCCTGGTAATTGAGCTGCAATCTGAGCCCACCTGCAAAAATCCCACAGAAAAATGTTCAAAAACAGAGGCGGAAAGATCCATTTTGGTGCGTGATTCGAAATTCTTATGCACCTGTTGCCTAAAACTTCATGGAGACTGATAATGAGATCCTCCTCTTGCTGTGAAAACATCCCTCTCTTCAAATCAGGCCTCAAATAGTTTATCCATCTCAGCCTACAACTCTTCCCACACCTTTCCAACCCTGCAAAAATCAATCAAACAGTAAGAAAAACCGATCAAAACCCAGAAATGGAAGAACCAAAGAAACCCAAAGCAAGGAGTTTTATATTACTTGTCAAAATCCGAACAAACCCAAATTAGAGAGAAAAGCTTTAAAGGGTTCAAGTTTTGCTCTGTTCTGGGGAGATGAAAGCAGGACGTACCGGCGAGCTTAGGGACAGAGCTCCAGCAGCCGACGCCGAAAGTGGCAATGTAATTGAAGAGCTTTTCATCTTCCTCGGGCGACCAGAGTCCTTTGCGGAGTTTAGACTTGAAGCAACAAGAATTGCGTCCCATCAGAAAGCGCAAAAAGCAAAAGGAAAAACAGAGGAATTTGGAAGTGTACAGAGGGAGAGTGGCAGTGGGTTATAAGTCAGGGATGTGGAATTTGATTTGAAGTTATATATTTTGTTTACATGTTTTTGGATTAAGAGTTGCCCAAATCACTCCACTCTAATCATACTTACCATTCTAAATCATACTTACACTTTAAGTTAACCACTCAAACAAAAAGCAATCAAGTGGGTTTTACGCAATTCTGCCCTTCTTTTTTCCACATTTCTCACTTCCTTTGCTTTCCAACATATCAACTCATTCATAGACCTTCTTTCTTCCTTAATCCCTCTTAATCATTTAATCATTCTTCTAATCTCTAACACGTCATAGATACTATTTTATCTACCAAAACAGTACGTGAGATCCCACCTCTGCTACTCAGCAAAACGAAACATTCCTTGTAGGCTGTGGAACTCTCTCCCCAACATAAACAACTGTGAGGCTGATGACTATATATAACGGGCCAAAGCAAACTATATTTGCTAACCATGGACTTTGACTGATATATAACAATTTCTCGATATGTGTCGGACCAAAACAGATAATATCGACTAATAGTGAACTTAGATAGACGGTTACATAATCTAGTTTATTTTAGTTAAATGAATTTATTGGAAAAGTAAGCTATTTTTTAGTAGTAATAGTAGGAAAAAAACGTCATGATGAATAAATTTAATATTATTGATCTCGAGTTTTGTAAAAAAAAAAAACACTTTCATAAATTATTGGTATAAAGTTTTATTTTATTTTTTAATTCATATGGGATGAGATATTTGAAATTATAAACGATACATATTTTATGTGGTTATGCTAAAAGTAATAATAATTGAAAAATAAATTATTATTTAAAAATAGAGGACGAAAATGAAATAAATATATAAGTTCATAAATTACGGCATATTTGAAATCATAATCAGTATTTTAATATTAGAAAAATAAAATATTTTTCCCTCTTTCTTCTCTCGTTCCTATCATGACCAGCCGACATGTCGTCCAATAGTCAAAGATGAAATAGCAAAAGGGAAGCCAGAAAAACGAGCCACGAAGCGAAACACGAGTCGTCAGTGACTCAATGCGTGCCAGCTAATATTAGCAGTGCAAAACAATTTTAAAAAAAACATGTTTTTTGTTTAATTCTTTTTTTAAGAATAAATTTAAAACTATATAAATTATTGATTATGAAATGGAGCCGACCGACACTATTACATCAATCGATCCTGGGCCCACCCTCCTCTATTTTTCAATTTTGACTTCTAACATTTAATATCCATTAATCATTTTCCACTTTTATTATTATTATTATTATTATTTGCAATTTCTTCAATTATAACAAAAAATATTGCGTTCCAAAAAATAAATAAAATTACTTTTACTTGTTCGCTTGGAGAAAAAAAATGTAATACACGTGGCAAACAATACGGAGCAATAGATGGAAAATTTCTGAACACCTGGTGGTACAAGAAATTACAACGAAGCTTCAAACTCAATGATTGGTTAGAGGTCTGGTGATGGTCTCTGAGACTGCCACGTGGAAGAGAGAAAATTAATTAAAACATAAATCTTATCTCTCTTCCTTCACGAATCACAGCCCACCACTCGTGTACGGCCGCCCTGCTCTCTACATTTTCTGTCGGTCTTTTCGATAGCAATCATTCCCTGCTCCGCTACTCATCACTACCAATATTTTACTCCAATCATCCTCTCTCCTTTCATATGACTTTCGACTTTGACCCTCCCAGAGTATTCTCATCCAACGGTCACAAATACGTGATTGCATTCTGCCCATCATCTTATATTAATATAATCATATAGAAAAGTTAGGATTTGTTTTGTTTTTGGATAAAATAACAATATATAAATTAATTATGCAGCTAAATATTAATAAATAAATAAATAAAGTGAAGAGAGTTGAAAGATTTTATTTTCCAAAATTAGAATTATATAGCATATACTTTTCTCCCCTCAATAAATAAACGCAGTGATTATGGGGCCACGAAAGTCGTGGATCACACGTGAAAAATAACCTGTCGGAATATAAATGTTATGTACACGTACATTATATTCCAGCATTAATTGTTTCAATATATTTTTTTAAATTTCTTTTACAGATTTATGAGAAATCATTTATTATAAAATTATCCGTCAAAACTTGATGTTTTTAATTTTTAAAAAGGGAAAATGAAAGTTGCTTAAAAAAATTAATTTCGTGGTTATGTAATGTGTATATTTTCCTTTAAATAAAATAAATATAAAATAATATATATTTTAAATTTGATTAAAATTAAATTAATCATTTGATATAATTAAAAGCTGTACCAATCATGAAAAGTATATCATGATTTTGAAAACCCTTTAGCATAATTTTAATCAGTAACCCTTTTTCCTTTAATTTTTTATTTTTTATTTTGGACAATTTTGATTTTGGCCAAGAAAACTTTAAAAACGTTCTAGAAGAAATTGAACATCGTATTAAATTTTAATTTATTTTTATTTTCATAATTTTAAAAAGCATGTAATTGCTCACCCAAAAAAAAAAAAAAGTGACTTTTTGTTTAATTAACTATAAATTATTTTAATTTTAAAGATAATTTTTTTTATATCTTATCACATAATTGGAGTAAGGTAACTTAAAAAATAGGTAAAGAATCTATTGGCCTTTTAGGGTGTAACTAATCCCCACATTTTCCAATCAAAGTCGAGGCTTTAAATTACTTTGCCTTCACCACCAAATGCCTTCATTTTCAAATCACTATAAAACCTTTTTCCCCAAACAAAAAATAAAATAAAAATCCTAATATATCTCACGCTGGTTCAAACTCTTGAAGCTCTAACTTTTCAGGGGGCCCAAACTTGACTTCTTGTTTCAGCCCAGCCCAAACTTGATATGGGCCTTATGAGTTTCTTTATTTTGTGGGCCTTCTCGTTGAAGGCCCATTAGTCTATTATGCATTAGGAATCATAGGCTACAGTTTGGGCCGATTTTGAGGCTTTGAACGTATTGATCCGGCCCATATTTAAACTGGTTTACTCACGCCTGTTGTCCGAGTTTTCGCTGAATTCAATCTGCTGTTGGTTGTTGTTGCAGGTTCTTCGTCTTAATTCTCTGTGCTTTCACTTTTCTTCAATCCGCAAGTGGAGTCGTCGACCGGGCGGCGCCGAAGAGACGGTGGCTATGGCGGATGATACTTACGGCGGCGCTTCACTTCCGTCAGGTCCTGACGGCCGGAAACGTCGAGTGACCTACTTCTATGAGCCCACAATTGGTGATTACTATTACGGCCAAGGTCATCCGATGAAACCTCACCGTATTCGCATGGCCCATAACCTCATCGTTCACTACGGCCTTCACCGTCGGATGGAGATCAACCGGCCTTACCCTGCCGGTACGGAGGATATCCAGAGATTCCACTCCGATGACTATGTCGATTTCCTCGCCTCCGTGTCACCCGAAACGCTGTCAGATCACTCCTTCTCTCGCTATCTCAAGCGCTTTAATGTTGGTGAGGACTGCCCTGTTTTTGATGGCTTATTCGGCTTCTGCCAGGCCTCTGCTGGCGGCTCCATTGGTGCTGCCGTCAAGCTCAATCGTGGGGATGCCGATATTGCTATCAATTGGGCTGGTGGGCTTCATCACGCTAAGAAGTCTGAGGCCTCCGGTTTCTGTTACGTTAATGATATTGTATTGGGCATCCTTGAGCTGCTGAAGTATCACAAGGTAATTGTGTTCTCTTTAGCTTTAGTTTTGGCCAACTGTGCTGGATACATAGTTCTTCGAGTTATATATTTTTCTAAATTTAGAGTTTTTTCAGTTTACTTTCTCGCACTTTGAGGATGATCGATTGTTTAGCACTGAGGTACTTATTGTGATATGGCCGACTGAAATTTTTTGCTTGAAGAAGTCTGCTTTTCAAATGAAGAGTTTGTGTATGCTGGATTACACATTTTACATTTTTTTTTTCTTGAACTTCGAGTACGATTTGTTGTTTGCAATGTGGAATTAAGTGTTTGGTTGAGTGAAGAAAATTCTCTTCAATATTTTTTATCAACGCATAAGATCGTCCTGTTAAAGCTTTAGCTAGCCTCAGCTGTGCTTCCACTTTCTAAGTTGCTAAATATCATTGTGCAGCGTGTACTATACATTGACATTGACGTCCATCATGGTGATGGCGTGGAGGAGGCATTTTATACTACCGACAGAGTAATGACGGTCTCCTTTCATAAATTTGGGGATTTCTTTCCTGGGACAGGGCACATTAAGGATGTTGGAGTAGGGTCTGGTAAAAACTATGCCCTTAATGTCCCCCTAAATGATGGAATGGATGATGACAGTTTTCGTGGTCTGTTTAGGCCACTCATTCAAAAAGTTATGGAGGTGTATCAGCCTGATGCGGTTGTACTCCAATGTGGAGCTGATTCATTAGCTGGTGATAGGTTGGGGTGCTTCAACTTATCTGTGAAGGGCCATGCAGATTGTCTTCGTTTCTTGAGATCGTTTAATGTTCCTTTAATGGTGTTAGGCGGAGGAGGATATACTATCCGCAATGTTGCTCGCTGTTGGTGCTATGAGGTCTGTCTGGTCTTCCTTGTGTATTTAATTTTACGTTCTTGTGGTTAAGATACTTCGTTACGAGTGGGGGGTTTTGTGTCAACAGACAGCAGTTGCTGTTGGAGTCGAACCAGACAACAAATTGCCTTACAACGAGTATTTCGAGTATTTTGGACCTGATTATACTCTTCATATAGAACCATCCAACATGGAGAATCTAAATTCTCCTAAAGACATGGAAAAGATAAGGTGACTTGTGACTGTGTGTTGGTTTGATGCTTCTTTCATATGAACATCATAAACGTAGCTCCGTTCTGTTGGCAGCGTATTTACGAGAATAGATCATTTCTTGCTCATTCATTTTATATATTAAGAACTTCTATGCTTTTGTGCTGTCTTACTGAAAATTTTAATGTAGATAAGTTGCCTACTGTATCACTTATTCTAGGAACACCCTGCTGGAGCAACTCTCTAGACTCCCACATGCCCCCAGTGTACCTTTCCAGATGACTCCTTCCTCAGAAGTTCCAGAAGAGGTGACAAACAACCTGAACCATACTTTACCCTGCACATTGCTTCATAATTTCTGTCTTTTTTTTGTAGTTTCTTTTTCTCTCTTGAGATTCATGTTGGTTTCTTTGGATGTCAGGTGGAAGAGAACATGGAACGTAGACCCAAACGTCGCATCTGGAATGGTGAGGATTATGATTCTGATGCTGAAGAAAACAGAAAGCGACCAAATAACAGTGAAGGGCCTGGTGTAAATAATCTGACGAGGTAAAGGCTTAAGCTCTATTTACTTTCTTGCACTATTTTACTGAGTGTACTAGCCTAAGCCTACCGATAGTAGATATTGTCCTTTTTGGACTTCTCCTCAAGGTTTTTAAAACGTGTCTGCTAGGGAGAGGTTTTCACACCCTTATAAAAAATGTTTCGTTCTCATCCCCAACCGACGTGGGATCTCACAATCCACCCTCCTTCGTGGCCCAGCGTCCTCGCTGGTAATTGTTCCCTTCTCCAATCGATGTGGGACCCCCAATCCCCACCCCTTTTGGGGCCCTCGCACACCGCCTCGTGTTCACCTTCTTTCGGGACTCAGCCTCCTCACACCGCCTCGTGTTCACCTTCTTTCGAGGCTCAGCCTCCTCACACCCCCTCGTGTTCACCTTCTTTCGGGGCTCAGCCTCCTCACACCGCCTCGTGTTCACCTTCTTTCGGGGCTCACCCTCCTCACACCGCCTCGTGTTCACCTTCTTTCAGGGCTCAGCCTCCTTACTGGCACATTGCCCTTTGTTTGGCTCTGATACCATTTTTAACTACCAAAATCCACCATTAGCAGATATTGTCTTCTTTGGGCTCCCTTTTGGGCTTCCTGGAAGGTTTTTAAAACGCATCTACTAGGGAGAAGTTTCCACACCCTTATAAAGAATGTTTCGTTCTCCTCCCCAATCGATGTGAGATCTCACAATGAACGTGTCTCAGCACTTGATATTAAATTCTAAAGATGGTGTACTACATATATCTTGTGCTATATTGAGGCTTTTCAATTTTTGCAAAGACCTTAGCTTTAATATCTGAATATCAGTACACGTGATGCAGGGACGAAGTAGATGGTATGGAGGAAGATAAGAACATGGACCATCAACCTCGTTGACAAATACTATGTGTAGATTTCTTGACGACCTAGAAGTCTCACCAGTTTCGTAAGAGACACTTAGGATCAAGTCATAGTTCTTAAAGCCTGGGTTATGTCTTTTGATTAGGCATTGGAACATACCGATAATATTATTTTCTCGACATGAAATTTAGAATTTGTACACACAAGGAATACCTAAACAGGAATCAAGGGCATCCACATCGGAGACTTTTGTACAAATATTTTGGAGTTGATATAAACTTGGTGATATTCTCTGGTGTTTATGAAATATACTGTTCATAATTAAAAGTTCTCATCACCTTACACTTTAACTGCGTACATTTGCCGAATGATTATGCCTACTTTGCTGCATGTGTGTTTTTTCGACATTATTGCCTACTTTGCTGTAATGTTGTCCCCTTGCCAACGTCTGCATTGCTCAACACTAATCGCCCTTTTCAAACAGCAGCCTTACCTTGCACAACACTCCATCTCACCTCACCAACATCATTGAACCTAGCTGTGCTGGTGTCCACATGATAGACACACCGACTGACCCGACTCGACCTCAACCCAAAACTAGGAGTGGTTAGCTTAGTTTTTAAGTTGGGGGCAAAGAAAAACTTGAAACTTTGTCTTGGTCATTATGGATCATGATTCAGTGATGTAAAGAAACTAGAGCTACTAAGAATAAGGTAAAACATTGGCAAAAGGCTCTGCAAGATTCCTTGAAATTATAGGTGTTTTGTGCTAGCCTTGGAGATGCTACCACTGTTCTTCTATTCAATATCCGTCCCATCTGTATCTTAGCCTTTATTTGGAGGACATGTAATGAAAGGAGGGAAAAAGAAAGTAAGATCAAAAAGTGAAGACCTATAGAAAATGCCTGGCTTTCCATGCTGCTGATTCTGTCGCAATTGGCTTCACAATATAGCGCCCATTGTTTGAACTGCAAGAGCTTAGCCTGCCAGTTATAGTGCCATCAGAACCCGAATAGTCCATGCAAAATCTCCTCTCCTTTTCATGCCTCTTATAACCAGCTCTCTTCCTTAGACTCTGTTTCTTCAAAATAGAGCTCAACTTCGCTGCGCCACATTCAGCATTCACCGGCGTCGGCATCGCCTCGAGACCCATCAACTTGGCTACAACTCCTGGTTTGCGCCACACGACACTCTCTCCAGCTATCGTCGATGGCAACCGCAAGGCTGTTTCTAACGTCAAATTGAACTCGTTCTCATGAATTCTCCCTCTGAGAGCATACTCACAGCAAACTGATTTCCTCCCACCCTTTTCAGCAGCATCCCTAAATGAAGATCGATACATTGCATCCTTTCCATCGAGGGAAAACCGAGGGTACTGATTCAAGGCATTCCGTGCAGAGCGTAAGATATCCGAGTTGTTTACGCACGACATCCTGCCTCGCATCTCATTGTAGTTGCAGAGTTTAGTCCTTCTTGCCGTCTCCTCCTCCAGCTCCAGCTGAATAATCATCTCCTCCAAGGTTGGTTGGTTTTGTGTGCATGACATGTCGGGCGAGGCAGGGAAGGGATCCTGGTTGGTTTTGTGTTGGTTGAGCGTGGAGGTGGAGCCATCGCCATTGCAGAAAGTTCTGAAGCCTTTTCTCATCTTTGCAGCCAGAGAGTTCTTGAAGAGAAAGAAGGATAACTCCTTCATTTTGGATCAAAACTTGGAGGTATGATCCGACTCTTCATTTACTTTTTTTCCATTTTTTTTTCTTTGATTGTTTTGAAGATATCTTGAATTGTGAACACAAATTGGTATAGAACTGTGAGTTGAATGAATGAGAGCGGTGTGGCCTCATGTTCAAAGTGAGTATATAGTGTTAATTAATGGCATTCACGTTCCGTTTTGATTAAAAGATGTTATCTTTCACAAGTAAGTTCATGTATCATTCAAATGCCCTTTTCTGTAATCTCTCGTCAACTTTCCACTCTCATTCACTTCTCTTAATCCTTAATAATGAATGAGCTAGTTTGAATTAAATGCATTGCTTACATTAGTTTATCAAAACTTTTATTAAAAAATAGAGAACTCCTTTCGATTTGAATTTTAATACCATGAATCCTACTCCAATTATCATAAAAATAAATGAAATTTTTTGTAGAGATCCAGATTGGAGGAAGACTTCTTCATCCCGTCTCATTCGGCCATATCGACAGGTCTTATTTAATCAACTAAAATGTCAAAAATTTAAACTCCCATGCGACTTGTATTGTTGAACTAAAAAAACGCTACCGGTTACAAAATTCTCACGAAAAAGATAGAACTTTATAAAAGGGCTTATTGCCTATCTGTCAAAGAACATATAGGAGTAATAGATGGATGATTAGGTTCCTCCATGGAATAAGAATCAGAATCTTGTCTGGTGGGTCCTCATTGGGCCTACACTCATATATAACTTTGGGCTTACTTGCCTAGCATTAGCCATTAGGGTCTCTTTTTAAAACTAGGTTAAGCCCGATGACTCTCCTTCAAAATATCAACTATTCAATGGGATCCACGTACAGCCATAAAGCAATATGATTTAGATTTACATTAAACCTAATCAACCTTAATTAAAATATAATATTATGTTCTTATTATTTTGTAATAATAATTCCCATGTTACACTAGCTAGATAGAAAATGTATGAAAAAACAAAAAAAAGAAACTTAGAAACATACCGTCCATCTGTCAATCTAAAATCACCTCAATCAATATCGTAAATAAAAATTTGTCTTAAAATATGAACTCGAGTATTGAATGAACACGTCAAACTGTTTACGGGGCCGAGACCATTCAAATAATTGGAAGGCATGAAAGAAAGGAAGTAACCCTAACCCATCCACATATATTTTTCAATATTGAAGTGAACATTAGAAAGAAAGAAAAATAAAAGAGACCCCACAGCCTCTGCCACTCTCACTCATCAGTTCTACAAACCCACCTCCCTCTACTACACTTTTCCAGGAGAGCCCGCCTGGATACCCACATCGCCCTAAAACCCTAACCTAATTCTAACATGATCTTCATTTCCTTAACAACACCAAAATGGTGAAGATTTGTACTTCTAATCTCTTAATCGAGCATAAATGTCTTAACTAGTCGAATTCTACTTGAACTGACACAACGATAAATGAAGTAGTTTCTCCTGAATCCAATGAACAATGTCGATTGCGTGGGACTGTTTACAATAATCACGCCAAGCCAAGGAGAAAATTCAAAACCCAGTTACAATTTCATGATGGATGATCATATAAACACAAACAAGGGGCATGTGATATTATAACTAAAAACTCAGTCTTAACCTAAAATTCAGGTAAAGTTGGAGTATTTTCACTCTCACTCGTACTCGAAACGCTGTATAAACATTCATTTTTGGTCGAAGAGAGGGTATGTTTATGAATTGAGGATAGATATGAAGAGAGGGGAATGTATAGGAGTACTGAAAATACACATAAAATGGTAGAGCTATGAGTGTAATGGAGTGCATGAGAATAAAAGAAAGAGGAATAAAAAAAGGGAGACAATCCCACATATCTGATAATATTATTGGATGCAGGGTCATAGTCATTCTTTAGTTAGTGTACCCACCATTTATTATTATCCTTGTCTTTTGCCTCCATTCTCCTCTCCCTGCTGCTTCTTCCCATCCACTAAATATACTCTTTCCCATCTTTCCTCCACTCAATGCAACCCTAAATTTCTCTATCTCTCTCTTTCTCTCTTCATCTTCTTGCTCCACCTAGGGTTTTGCTTCAGCTCCATCACAGCTTTGCACAGCTCTGTGACTCATAACGTTGGTTTATCAAAGGCAAAGGAAGAAGGGTTTTATCTCTCTCTCTCTCTCTCTCTCTCTCTCTCTCTGGAAAGGTAAAAGGGACTTCCTTTTTTTGTTGTTTTTAATTGATTCTAAGGAAAAGGAAATGACCTAGATCACACAACAGAGGTAAGTTTATGTAGCTCTATTTTTTATATTATTATATATATATATTATCCCCATAGGTAAGAAAAAGGCTAAACAGAGAAATTAATCTAGACCCTTTGACGAACATTGGCTAGGTAGAGCTTATTTAGGGCTCTTTCTTTCTTGTCCATTGTGTTATTATATATACACATATATATATATATTGATGACTTTACTTTGTTCATCGGTCATGTCTCATCTTCTTCACCAGATTGCAGAAATGTGAAGCCTTTCTTTGTAGCTGCACGCAACCTTCTGCTTTCTTCTCAGTTTACACTTTGAAAATAAAAAAGATCAGAAAGAGAGAGAAAAGGAAAAAATAAAAATATAGAAAGTATATGCAACCAGCTGCTTCAAAAAAAAAAAAAAAAAAATCCAGTGATAATATAACTTATGGGGTCAATGAGTTGTAAAAATCTAGGTAATGGAAGAAGAATGAATCATAATTCATTCTTGGAAAATAAATTAGGGTCTAATCGAACGAATCTAACTATTTCTTTTATAATGATTGGATTTGAACCTCTAATCTCGAAAATATCTAGTTAGGGTTGAAGATGGGAAGAACAGTAAAAATATATATATATACCTGCAAATAGGCAGATATAGCAGAAGATGTTTGTCTGCAAATTTGATTAGGGAGTTGTACGAGTGTCTGTCCATGGGAGAGTTTTGTGTGAGTGCGCACGCGCGTGACAGACAGATAGAAGGTTTGGATCTTTGATTCTGCGCACATAAATGAAACTTGGGGATCAGCTACCAAAAATTCTCAATTACTTTCTTCTGAATTTCATCTGACTTATTCTAGAAATTCCCTTACTTAATTTTATTTACTCTTCACACATAGAATGAAATATAAACAAAAGAAGCAAAGGTTTTGAAGATATTATAATTGAAGAACGCAGAAAGATAGCAATGATTATTGATATTGATGTTCTTACTTTGATTTTGTTAAGGAAGATGGCATCATCAAGTTGTTACAACTCTCCATGTGCTGCTTGCAAGTTCTTGAGAAGAAAATGCATGCCAGATTGCATTTTTGCTCCTTATTTCCCACCAGAAGAGCCTCAAAAGTTTGCCAATGTCCACAAGATCTTTGGGGCAAGCAATGTCACAAAGCTGCTCAATGAGCTTCTGCCTCACCAAAGAGAGGATGCAGTGAATTCTCTTGCCTACGAGGCCGAGGCTCGAGTCCGAGACCCGGTCTACGGTTGCATTGGAGCCATCTCCTTCCTCCAAAGGCAAATCCATAGGCTCCAAAAGGAACTCGACGCTGCCAATGTCGACCTAATTCGGTACGCATGCAACGAGATCCCTGATGGCGGAGCGAGTCATGTGGTTCAGCCAATCCCCGACCTACGCCCGAGGGCTTTGGATCAGTATCATACAAGAATTCTTGGGAATGAAGGGTCATCAAGTGGATATTATAATCAACATCCTCCTGCTTTCCCTATGGGCTATCCACTTCCTTGGAATGAAAACTCTTCTGGAAATAACATCAATGAAGGAGGAAGGGATGACAATATTTGAAGATAACTTTTCCAAAACCTCTCAACCCTTTTAGGGTTGAGTGAGAAACTTCTCTTCTCTCGTAAGTCACTTCCTCATATATATATATATATATGATGGGTTTTTCTAGCTAGATGATTTGGTTTCTAAAATCCCAAAATTTGTCCATTTAAAATCCTAAGCAATTTCGTATGAGTTTATGTTTTAAATTATGAGGGCGTAAATAAGGTTGCTTTGCATGAAGCTAGCAACATAATGTTTATTATCGTGTGAGGTTCATTTTCTAGAGAGCTCTTTTAGCTTATTATTGTATCAATAATTTTGTATTGCCATTGTTTATGCTTAAGAATAAATGAAAAGAAAAGAAAAAAAAAACAATATTTTTATCTCGTGTTTTGTTGAGTGTTCTTAAAAAAGCAGATTCTCTTAGCCTTGTGTATTTATATATTCATACATATATATATATGCATCTATGTGTAGCTTAGTCGTCCTATTTTTAACCCTATGTAATATTCTCTTCTTCCTTTTCTTTCTACTTTCTTTTGAGAGGACCAGGTAAGCTTTTCTTTTGTAATTGTCAAATGTCAATAACAATTTTAGCTAAATGATAAGGTTTTTAGCTATTTATTTGATTGAGAAAAAGACCTATAAAGAGAAATGCTTGAAGCAGCCCCAACCTTTGGCACCTAACAAATGAGCCTCTATGTTATGGCAAAGTTTTGAAAACTGAAGGAGGGTTGTGAAGGGAAGGATTTGAAAGGGCCATTTTGAAAAGAAAAGGAAAAACAAATTTCCCGTGGATGGGGTTTTCAGTTTCTTTTTATATTTCAATTTCTTCACCTAACTTTTTACTGTTTTCATCTCCCCATCACAACTCACAAGTCCCAGACTTTGCAGTAAAAACCCTACACTACTCATATTCACAGTAAAAGCTTATCTTCCTTCTGTACTTTCTGTTTTGTTCTTTATTATTATGTTTTATCCTCGTGCTGATCAGAGTTTTCTTTTTTGTTTGTATATTAATGAAACTTTGTTTCTGCATGGGATTCATGAAAATAATACTAACAAATGAAGCAAAATAATGAGGCATGAAAACAAATTAGAGACAAACAAATATAATGAATACTAAAAAAAGCCTTACTGATTCCTCTCTGAATGGCTTTCTGGGTTCCGGAGAAGAGCCCTAATTTGTTCATACTCCATCGTCCGAGATGTTTTCTTCTAAGCACTAATAGTATTTGATTTTGAAGTGTGAAAAGAAAAGGGCACTGTTTGGGTTCAGAAGTTTGGGGTTTGGGATTTGTGAGTGAAACTGTAGTAATCTTAATAATCTTGTAGTCTGCAGACAGATGGGGAGAGACGTGGTGAAGAAGTAAACAGAAGCTGAAATTTGGCAGGAACTTCATAAGCCTTTCATCATATAAGGACAAATATCACCAGACCCTCCCTTTCCTTCTATTTTTGACCCCACCACAACAATTCTTCATCATCTTTTTCCCAATATTTTTTTGTTTTATCTGAACTTTTCCCAATTCCAAATTAGGAAATGTGTAATGGATCGTATTAATTATTAGTATATGACTAAAAAGAATCAAACTATACCCAAAAATGGTATTATTAACACTAAACAACTCTTAATTTGAGATTGTGCAAGAACTAATACATATATATTATACTATCATTTTCAATATTCTTTTATACAAACTTAAAAGATATTGAGCCCAAAGAAGTAGCCATTTTGGGCTAACCATTGGGCCTCTTGTTCCTTCCATCATTAAGGAAAATTGTAAGCAAGAGCTCCCATGTTTATGGGGTTTTAATCGCAGATTCCCACTTAATTTTCAATTTTTTTCAATTTTAAAATTTGGTGAAATTTTGTTTCACACGTCCAAATCTTCCTACATTTATCTAACTACATCTTCTATCATTTAACAGCTCTCACTTTTGTCAAATAAAATATGTAATAACTATTGTGTCAGTGTGCAGCGTACGAATCAGGTTGATATCCATGTGTTCAAAGACAAATAATGATTAATATAATGAAGAACCTCTTACTTTTTTTTTTAGAATCATATTATAAATATTAGTATATACAAAGACGTAATGTGTAGCTATTTTATCTACATCATTGGTATACATACCCTGATACGGTTCAATTAATGTATATATGTATATATATACATTTAGATAATCTATCACATCATTTTTCAATAAAATAAAGTTAACTAAATAAAGCGTATAAAACATTGATTAAAAAGAAAATAACTCTTAGACGCTTCCTTCCAAAATGACTATCAAATATTGTTCTTAATTTCTCCTTACACTTAATATCACATCATAAGCTACGGCAACTGCTCTAAAAGTCAAACTTTTTCAGCAACTTCCAAAAAGTACCTCCACCTTAGAAAATAGTGTATAAGCTCTAAAATTTTTCAAATTAAAGGGAGATACCAAATTGTGATAAGATTCAACCAAGGATAGAGGTGGATACGCATAGACCTCTATCTCACCTTTCATAATCTCGATTCACACCCACACAAAAAATATATAATATACACACACAGATATATATATATATATATATATATATATATATATATATATATATATATCAAAATCAAATCTCATATACAAAATATTTATTCGTCTTAGAATTTAGTATCACATGGGTGTAAGGCATTAACTAACAAGAACAATTATAATGAGCAAGTACCTGTTGTTTGTGCGACGGGGGGCACCATTCACTTTTTCTTTTTGTCACTGTAAGTTGGCCACCACAGCCCTCATCGCTACGCCAAAATGAACTAATTAATTACTTTAAGAATTTATGGGTCCGGTTGAAAATGAAGCAATTTTGAAACTAAGAAATTTACTCTTACCAGTTTAAGGCAAACACGTAGCCATCACAGCAGGTCGCCGGAAAGAAGCTCAAAATGCATTCTTGAGTGGAAGTTTGGTTCCATCTCACCATCAGTGCAGTCGTTTTCAGCCAAGGAATCCTATGACAAAATTAAACCTAATCTTTTATGGTTTGTCGGTAACCATCCCAATTCAAATTTGTCGTTATTTAGCCTCAGAAATGTATGCCCATTCTACTCTAAGTTACTATGTTTAGTATTAACCATTAAACCAATCTATTCTTTTACCAACTCATTCCCATTTGGTGCAGAGGTTGGTAACGCAGAATTTTCCAGTTGCTATAAGTGTGAGCAAAAGAATGAGAGTTTTTTTTTCCGGAAGAATCGTCTAAACTAAAAGAAATTCTAGTTATTTCTTTCAAATTCAATGATACGTTGAAGTGGAGACTCGAATCTTTAACGTTCGAAGAGAGCATACCATATAATAACTTAATAAATTGAATTTTGCTAAAATAAACATAAGAAAAAGTTCAAACGAAGTGTCCATCGGCTATGATATGTGTGGACAAGAGAAACTTACCTGTCATGCAATAAGCGTAGAAAGAATTAAAAATAAAAAGAAAAGAAAAAATGTCCAAGTACAACACCACTATTAATACTTTTTCCAAGTTTCAAAGCTTGTAGGCCCTCTTAAAAAGTGCCAGAAATCTACCTAAAGTTACCAAATAATACGAGCGTGATTAAGTTTTTTGTAAAACTTTCTCATGTGAGTTATCGCATATCAGATTCTTAATTCCAATGGGGTCACAGGTCAAATCTCCCTGTTTTTTCATGTATAAAATCATACAGTGACAGCCGTTCACGAGTCTCATAGACATTTCCACTAATCATTAACTCTGAGAGAGCTAGCTAAGTAAGAGCAGGGGATAAGCGAAGCCAATATAGATACCTCAAATGCAGCTCTCTTATGGAAGAGCTTTTGGACAGAGTTCACATCAAACACATCTTTGTCCCTCAATTTCTATCTATAAGACCAGCTTGAAAACTCACTCGGCAACCCAGAAAGGCTGAAGAAGCAAAGGCTTCACTAAGATGGGTGTGTGCTCAAGCAAGGGTGGGAGCAATATTTGTGATGATGATGTTGGAGGATTGAAAGAAAAGATAAGGCTGCTCAGGGAGGAAGTGAGAGGAGTAATGTCTGAGATGGATAGAGAGGTCAAAGCCCATGAAAAGGACATGGTGATGTTTGCATTTAAGGAAGCAGATTGGAAAACAGAGAAGAAGAAACTCAGAGAGGAGGTGAAGATGTTGAGGAAGAAGGTAAAAGAGAGGATGACAGAGATTGAAGAGGGAAATTTTGGAGAGAAGACTGCAACAGAATGGGAGATTGAAAGAACTCCAAATACCATCTTTGAGCAGATACAACAGGAAAGAGCACGCAGAGATGAAGCCATTGAGAAATGGAAGCAACTTTATCACGCTATCAAGATTGAGCTCGATGACCTAATTCAGAGAACACATAATGGTATGCCTATTCTAAATTTCCTTTTGTTTCTAAATTTTATAGTCTCTGTCTTAGCTGTTAAAATTGAGAATTTAAGATTAGTCGAGCACATTGGATTTTCGATCACTAAAAGGCACTCAATACTTGCTTTGATAGGAGATGGATTGTACTGGGGAGCGAATGAGAGAACAGAAGCACTACAAACGGAATTGCTAGCAAAGGAGGAGACCATAAAGGCCCTCAAAGAACAAGTGGCTTCAATGGAGCAAGAAAAATATAAGAGAGACACAGAAATTGACATACTGAGGCAAAGCTTAAGAATTATGACCAGTAAGAAGGAAAATCAGATAGAAACCTTCCATAGCTGCGTTTGTAAGTAGCCTGCCAGTGAAGTAAGGAGCACGAAAACAGAAGTTCCAATGAAAAGCCAATTGAAAGTGTTGCTAGAAGCAAATGCATCCAGGAAGCTGTTACTTTTGCACCCCCACCCTTAATTTCAACCCAACTGTTATTTTCATAATCATTTCGTTGGGATGGTCCAATAGGTAAACTTTTTTGTTCTATAGACTGCAATGTTGAGAAAGTTCCAAAAACAATGAGAAAAAAGGGGCTTATCCTGACAGGAAGAAAAAATGGCGCATCAAATGTTCTCATTGAAATTTAGTGATAGATTAATTTCTTTCGATTCAAATTTACAATATCATGATAACTATTGGTCAAGTTCTACTCAACATCAACAATCTATCACACAAGAAAATCTAACTTATAGAACAATAATGACTGTACTTATAAGATCTGAACTAGAAATGTGAGACTACGGCTCTACCAATATCGTCCACGAATCAATTTTGGTGCCCAACCTTGTAGCATATGAATCATATTTCTCTTCGTACAAAAATTTATGAGGCCAACTTAATTCTTGGGATCAATAGGAGAAATGCTTCAACTTATGCTAATGTCATCTGAATCATATGCACTCTAATCGCAGTTAACATGAATGATAAAATCCATCCGTAAATAGCATCGCAATATTTATTTTGGACATTTAGTCTAAGCCAAACTCACCTTCGTTTCACCAGATCTGCAAAACAAATCGCTGGAGGAAAATGAAACTACCAAAGCAAGCTCTCGGCCATTGAAGGATGCATCGCGTTCGAAATTGCTTGCGTCGCTCATTGTATTTTATCGACCATCATGAGAGAAGAAACGTACTGAAATCGCCAAAATGGATGCCTCGAGTAAGGGCATTGAGGCTTCGCGCCAAAAGTCGTTTAATTTTGGGTAATTATAATGGATTGCAAACTAGGTTTTATTTATAAATATGGTAAATCATTTTTTAAATAAGATTTTGTTATTCTTATTTTACCCTCTTTATTTATATATATATATATGACTCTTGGCCTCGTTCATGATTTCTCCACATGAGATCCTGAGTGCAAACCTTCGGTCCTTTAATCCATATTCAGGATCAAGATTCGACATTTCTTGACTCTGCAATCGTCTACGACTCTTACAACATAGTGTGAGACTAACCTAATTACGTGAAATGTAAAATATACCGTAAATAGCCTACCGCCTACTTGTAGGTTATTTATAGTGTCCATGGCTGAGGCTAAGGTACCACAATCTAGACTTTAACATAAGGCTTAAGTATAGAGTTGATTCTATAGAACTTGGTCCTAAGGACCTATGTTTCGGGTCTTGAGCCCTTAAACTTGGTCAGTGTGTTACCTAGTTCGGGCTTATAATGGGTTTAAGAGAGTGGACCCCAATGGATTATCCACTTCCACTTCATACACAATGCATACCACTAGTCTTAATTTTAAAACGCTATCCTAAAAGACTTAATAGGTCCAAAAAATCTATGTTCACAGAGAATTTGGGAGCTGAATTGGTTCACAAAGAATTTGGGAGCTGAATTGGCCCACGATTGCTCCAACTTTCCCATGCGTCCCCCAATTAAGGGTGTTCCAGAGAGTACCTTGAAGACAGGTTGTCCCAGAAGGCAAAGGCATTAAAATAACCGTTGGGCTGTACAGCTTTCGAGGCGACATATCCAATGGCATTGCAGGTTTGTACATGAGCTGGGCTCCAATTACGGGTTGAAACTGGGCCCATCGGAAGGCCCGGAATCTGGGCTATAATTCGGACTCCTATATTCAGAAGAATAATTTATTTTTAAAAAAAATTATATTTATGAATATTTTAAACCTTGTTAACCCATTTATTGATTTCAACGGCTTCCCACTAACTAGATGAAGTAGTACAAAATAAAATGGAACAATGAGCTGCAAAATAAAAATTAATAATAAATATTGCTCTTTTCCTTTTGAAATTTACATTTTGCAAGCCCAAAACCTCTGTGTTATTGATCAGCAGAGTTTCAGAAGTCATGACCTGATCTGCGACAATCTTTGTATAAATAAATCATAGGTTTCTTCACGATCCATCATGCTAATTCGGACGTATTTCGGGCTTACACCGAAATGCTTCCCGCCTCGTGTGAGGATCTTATGGCGTCGGAGGAAGCTCTCGCAATCATCGACGTCATCTCCATCGCATTTTAACCAAGCGAATGCTGCAGAGCAGAGGACAAACAAAGTCAGTCATCAAAGTTCAAACAACTAAAATGAATGTATCCATCCAAAGATATAGTGGATGTTGTTCTTGCCAGGTTGAGATCCCAAGTTGTTGTCAAAGAAGTTGCAATGTGCAGAAGAAAATTCAGGCAAACTAAATATGCCGCTACGTTTCACTGCATCCCTTAGCATCCTCCATCTCTCAGTCATGAGGGCATGGCTGAAATGGAAGAACGATTCGACATGTTCCGAACCACCGGCCTGTTCGCAACTATCGGACACTACTTCGAGAACTTTAGCAGCTCGAATCTGCGAGTCCTTAGACACACCAATGGTATTCAGCTCAATGAATTTGGTCATTCTCTTAGCAACTTCAACATCCTTCACAAGAGCCCACCCAATGCGCATTCCAGCATGACCAGTAATCTTTGAGACAGTGAAGAGCGTCAAGTCGTTGTCAGCCGGGGACGATATAGGCGTATATTGCGGCCAATAATAAGCAAGGTCATGGACCAATATACCACCAGTTCTATTCACCATGGAATGTCGAACGAAGCCATCAGGATTGTTGGGGGAGGTGACCAATTCAATGTAGGGCTCGTCCTTGTTGAATACCTTCGCATCGCCAGCCCATTTGTGGAGCCCTGACTTGATGCTGTCGGTCATCAAAGGGTAACACTGTATGCATAAATCATGTGATTGGGTTAGGTTCCATTTCAATTATTAAAAAAGAACATTCATAAAAGCTCAATATAAAAAGCACAGAAAAACAACGTGGAGTTGATTCAGTTCACTTGACAAACTTTAATGGAAGGAACATGTCTTAATTCCACGACATTTCATATAAATACATATAAATTCCTGTTTCTCCGACCTCCCATTCATTAAAGAACATATCAGACAGTGCATGTGGAGTAAAAGAATTCAAAATAAATAAATCGCTGTTGACTTTATGAGATTCTTCTAATTTGTTAAAAAAAAAAAAAAAAAAAAAAAAAATCTTAAAAAAAAGTTTATTTATCCCCAATTTATAATTATTCGATACAATCTTAGATAAAATAAAAATGTTTGAACCTTCGCAAATAAACACAAATCAATTTATAATCATTCAAAAAACAAATTCATTAATAAGAACAAATAAAATTGTAGCTTCTTAATATAGTNAACAGAAGCATGTGTCCCATCATAAACTCACCGAGTAGTATGGGGCTGCAGAGACCACGCTGATCGGGTTCGACGCATCTTGCGGGGCCAACGCATAGAGTGCAGCTGAGAAGAGCTGGGACGAGCCCGTCCCGACAACAATGTGTCGTCCCTCTGTCAGGGCGTTACCGACCACCTTATGCACCCTCACAATTTGCGTGGCAAATTCAGGCTCCAAGAACCAACACAGGTTCTTCACATCAGAGAAATAACTCATTGATTGCCATCCAGGGATCACGATTGTGGCCTTGTCCCCCATTTGCTTCCAATACTTCTCATACATTGTCGGGTCACCACTGCATTTAAATCATATTACAATCCAACTTGCTCAAATCTTGATCAAACCTATTAAATTAAGCTTAAATTTTGAGTTTATGTACCCTAAAACCTCAGTATGGAAGAGGGAACAAAACAGAGGGTCCGGTCCCGTCCCTACTGGTTCTGCATCACTCCATCAACCATATGATCTCAATGTGGAGAACAAGTGGAGGGAAGTTAAAATCTAGATGGGACCCACAAAGTGGTGGAACAAGATACTAATTTCCAAACATCATCTTTTTTTTTTTTTTTTTTACAGTGTTTTTAATTATTCATTTTTCTTTTGTAATGGGCGGCCAAAAGTTAAAAGAGAACCACAAAGATGGGGTTTTGGTGTTGCATGCAAGGTTGAATAAGCCACGTGGCTCCCACAAAAAACAAGAATCTTCCTCTTCTTATTCTTCTTATTCTCATTCTCATTCTTGAATGGAGAAAAATAAAAGTTATTTCAGGACAAAAGAGAACCACCACGATGCCATTTTCTGGGGTCAACTTCAAATCTCCACCGTTCATGGTGCATTCTCGAACTTACTATCACAATTATAATAATATTTTCCTCACGTAAAAATTAAAAATTTAAAAATCGTAGCACAGCTTACAAAGAGCGAGGAGCTGTCTGTGTCTATGTTAGCAGCAAAACGGCATGGATCAAAGCGGCTTTTAGACAAATCCCAAAACACAGGGCAGCCTCGTTTCCAAGCCAGGAGCTTTAAATTGAAACAAGCCTAGCAGTTTCTTTTTTTTTAGAGAACATGTTTTTTGTACGGTTAAATTAAATATATGTATTTTTATTTTTATTTTCCCAAAATATCACTGACATCCCCAAACAGGTTCGTGGCTTTGACACCCCCAAAGCAAAGTCCACACCTAAAAAGCTGGGAAATTACGTGGAAATTACCCCCTTGCCCCTCCCCCCATCAGAAAAAATTTACATTACGGTGGGGTTAATTCTGATGCAGGACGATGGTAAAGGTAAAACAGAATCCCATTAGATTTGAAACACAGAAGGTAAAAAAGCAGAAAGGGAAAATGGATTAAGAGTGAAGCGGAGAGTACTTACTGGTCAAGGTTTATAACTCTTTCCCTTCCATTTTGACCAAGAGGTTGAGTTGCAGGAGTGGCTGCTGTTGGCGATGACAGCAAAGGGAAGGACAAAAATGTCATTTGGGCAGCGTTAATTCCCTTCTGAACTGCCATTGGAGCTCTGTTATCCTGATTTATAGCTCTTAGAATCAAGCTGACGTTCAAAGCCATGGACAGCACGAAGAAATGCTTAAGTGAAATCACTTTGATTACTCTGCCCATTGCTCCCCAAAAAACAGAGCACAGAAGAGAAAAAACAGAGCAAAGCAGAAGAAACACTGAACCAAAAAGGGCAAAAGTAAAAAAAAGCAGAAGACGAAGAACACTTGAAGAAAAATAAAGTGGTAATCTCTTGAAATTTGGTAAAATCTTGTAAGGGTTGGGGGAAAAAGGAAGATGATTGGGTGAAATAGAAAGTGGAAATGAGTGAAACAGAGAAGGGGTGAAGTTAAAAAAAAAAAAAAACAAAGATAAAGAGAAACAGAGGTGTGTGATTGGAAGAAGAAAGAAGTGATCAAATATTACTGCGTTTTGTCGCCATTTTTGAAGCTTGGAGGGAAGAGAGAAAACAGAGAAGAACAGTTTTCAAAACAGATAGAGGAGGAAGAGGAACAGTCTTGAAAACGCATCCGACAAAAGATTTTTTTCTCAAGAATCAAGAAATCCCACAACGATTTTCAGGGAAAAGTTGCAGACTTTCGATGCTGGATCTTAAAAATCTCTCACACTTTAAAACTATAAGATTCACTGTTCCATCTTCAAATACAAGGGCTCGCATATATATATATATATATAAAAGCTGCTCTCTCACTGCCACTACATGCTGTGCATTATTTTTTGGGGTTTCCTCTGCTTTCCTCTGTTTTCTTTTTTTATTATTATTACTTAATTTTCTTTTTATTTTCTTTCTGGGAATTTATTCTTCCATTTTTTCCATTATTTCCTTAAACCGTATGTATTTTTCAATTGATTTATCTTTCAATTTATTACTCTCTCCCTCTCCCTGTCTGGTAATTTATAATACTTTCACATGATGCCCTAGTTCTAACCAATATTCTTAATAATCTATAGTGGTTTGGCTCTTTTCATATATAGGGTGGTTTTCTTTTCTTTTTTCTTTTTTTTTTGTGGAAATTTATTCTTCTATTTTTTTTTATATTGAATTATAGTTTATCAAAAGTATTTAATATTTTATTATAGACAAATATTTATGTTATCAAATATATTTTATTAAATTATATTTAAATGTGATTTTCAACTGGTGAGTAATTTTGGTGGCCGTTTCACCCCAACCACGTTGCCTTTCCTGTTTCAAAAATTTCCCACAAGAAATGGAACAAATAAATAAAAACTTTCCCTTTCATTTTATGTCTCATTGTGTTATTATATGTTCCATTCTAGTGAATGAAGCTGACATTTTCAATCTAAATCACCTGTCAAGATTCACGGCAGAAAAAAAAATTATATATATTGTTTTTATAATTTCATCAAATATTAAAATTGGTTTCTACTATTTAGTTTATTTTTAATTTTTCTTAAAAAAATTGGTCTTATTTATCTTTTTGTTAAATATAATATGTATTTTTTAATGAAATTTATTTAACCAATTTTTAAAAATACCAACAGGGATTTATTGAAAGTCGTTAAATTTGAGCGTTTGAGAGTAAAATCCAAAGAACATGAACTACCAAGTTAGAAGATTTGAGGGAAATTACTAATATGCAGGAAAGAAGTAATATTTTGTCAATTAAACTATTTTTAGATTATTGTTAAACAATATATATATATATATATATATATATATATATATATATATATGATTATTTATTTATTTATTTATTTTGAATTATGACTTCCATAAAATTAAATAGAATATAAGAATTATACGATTCTAGCATAGATTGACGTGTGATTTTAATATAATCAACTAATTTTTAATACATAGTATCTAGACAACTATGTTGAATTTAAAATGATTGAAATAAAATTGATTTAAATATGATACAAAAATATAGAGAGAAATATATAAGCAAATTTTATTTTTTAAAAATACAATGCTTATATTACGTGTTATCACTATATTGGTCCATCTGTACCAAAAAATAAATAAATTCATGAAAAAAATTATGCAACTAAATTAAATCTTCTATTATTTATAGATATAAATGGTTTTTTTTCGTTATGTCGAAACAAATATAATAAAGGAAATTAATGGTAAAAGAAAAAAAGCCAGTTAAGTAATGCATTTCACCTAATGTCTCCACTTATAATTGTTATAATACAAGATTGATTTAAATAATAATCTAATTCAAGTCAAACTAGACACTAAATTTTTAATTGTTACTATCTTTGATATTTCAAAGGTCAAAGAACAGAATGCCACGTCATCTCCTTCATCAAACGGACACGTAATTACAATTGTTTTTTCTAGGATTGACACGTAATTAATTAAACATTCTTAATTGGACACTAACTAGTGGAATTACTAATGTAATTTGACCCCTTATCCATTGATTACCTTCCAACATGACTGATTAACTGTAATTTACATATTTACCCTTAAATTTAGTTGCTTGTTTATGACCTTAATATGTAATTTAGCCTCACATCACAAGCAATAATGTATTATAAACTTCATATTATATGATTAATCATAGAGAGAGAGCGACATCATCATATGACCAATCCTAGAGAGAGAGCGACACCATCATAAGCTTACTTTTGCTCTAACTTTCGTATTGCATCTTTAACCACTTTGTTCAACGTTTCTTGTACAAAAAAAAATATTTTTTTTATAGTTAAATGGTAATTATTATTATTATCAATTATTTTTTGCCGACACAAACAAAAGTAATATTAATTTTCTTGAGATTTGAATTATTTATTAGTGTATGTAAGATCAGTTTGATAGAAGAATGAAACATTCCTTACCAATGTAAAATAAAAATAAGTACTCATGATTATTAATGCAGAAAAAAAATGTACACTATTATAATGGTGCATACTTCTTATATTCACGGTATAATTTCTATTTATAAATAATTATTTAATTTTATTGAACCTTACGTAATTCTTAAAAAAGACCATGAAGGTGACACAATTAATAAAAATAGTATCCATACTAAATGGTATATTTCTTTTTCATTAATGTCTTATAAATAAATATGTAGTCTACTCCTATAATCTACTCCTTTCTTGAGTTTAAATATTTTTTTCTTAATATGAGATGTCTAATATGGGATGAGACAGTGATTGATTGATTTTTTTCTTGGGTTTTAATTTGAATTAGTTTACAAAAATTATTTACCTATGGACTACCCTCTACACATTTTTTTCTAACACACTAGTCTATTAATACAAATATATACGTTGAGAGGCTTACTATACAAAATTTAGGCGTCTATTGAAAAAAAAAGAACAAAAAATATAAGATCCTAGGTTAGGGAAGGCTAAAAAGCTATTATTTGTTGTCTACTTCTCGAACCTTTACAGCTTGGGTTTGGTTTTTTCGATGAATTTCGGTGCGTTAATGAAAAGCGAAGCATAGTGTGTGAATGAGAAAGGAAGAAAGAATGGAAAGAGACGGAGTAGTCTAACCGTTTCCTAAGACACTCATAAGTAAATAAAGAAGAATAAAAAATATTTAAAAAATACAGTAAAAATAAAAGGACTAAAACTACAAATTTAACGGTAAATAAGTAGACGACAAGGGTGAAAAAGCAAGAAGAGGAGGGTTATGTGAAAAATAAAAATAAAAATAAAAATAAATTGTGGAAAGTGACGGAACGTGAAAATTCCTTGGAAGGAATTAGAAAGGGGAAGAGGAAGAGATTTGGGTCCACAAAATCAGAAGTGCGAGAAAGAACAAGATCGGGGCTTTTATGTAAAGTAAAGTTTTATCGGGGACCATTTTTAAATTATTATTAACTTTTTTTTGGCTGTTTAAAAATTTTGATTATTATTGAGTTGTTGAGAGGTCAGGTGTGGCAATCTGGTTGGAAAACAAAGCCCATAATAAAGTCCACTTGGTCCAGCCTAAGTTGGTGTATGCTTTTTAAGTGCAGTGCAGGTCACAGTTCTACCTCTTGCACAAGTGGTCCTTCCTCTCCTCCCTATTCACATTCAAAGCCCAATCAACACTAAACTCAATCATATAATATTCCCTTTCATTTTGATGGAAAGCATTTAGACTTTTAGTTTCCCATTTCCAAATTCACCTCATCAATCTCATTTTTTATCACTCCAATTTCATATCTTACGTGGCAATCTCTTCTTCAAATAATTAGGGCTACGTCACTTTTACTTCCAATCCCAACGAAACCATAAATTTTACACATTTTTTTTTTTTGTTAAATTATAAATTATGTTCTTAAATAACTTTCAATACTTGGTCTCTAAATTTCATATTTAAAATTTTAATTTTATATCTAATAAATTACTAGAATTTGTTTTTAAAAAAGTTTAAATTATAAAATTAAAGAATTATAAACCACTAAGTTATTATTAATTTTATATTATCATTTATATGTCTCAATTAAAGGAGGAAAATTAAGGGGCAAAATAAACTATCAATTTTTGTGGAGGGAATATTTGAAAGAATAAATCTGAGAGTTTATGGAGGAAATAATTTAATAACTTATTAAATAATATGAGGCCGAAAATAATTTTAAAAAATGGCATAAAATTGTGTGGAACCTATCATATTTTGCAATCATAGAAGTTGTGTGTGGTCGCATTCGAAATTTAATAATAATTCATTATGGTGACACGAGCGTGGGTGAGAAATTCAATGATAAGATATTAATATATGAAAGGTATGTGACACTAACCATTGCTTTGCTTTTTATTTAGGGGAAATATTGAAGTTAAATTAACATTATTTAAGATAAAGTGATTGCAACAACTCATTTAAATCAATTATTATAGGTCTTCTTTCGTTTCCTGGATATCTTTTTAATTTTTATAATTTAAAAAATTCTGAAAACATAATTTATTCGAAAAATAAAAAATATCTCCCATCCAAACCTATTTTTATAAAATTATTAAAACATAATTTAGTCCAAGGTTCAGTCCCTCAAAACGTACGGGAGGTGTTGGCGTTGGTAAAAAAAGGCAAAGCCAAAAAAGAAGTGTGTATGATATGAGTTTCGGTAACGAACTACTTGTTCAAAAAAACGTAAAAAACATTTTTTTTACGAAACTTGTATATGCAAGCTAAATTTCTTATTTAACCTATATTTTAATAGTGAATTATTAAATTTTAAACTATAAAATAAAATACAATCATTTTTCAAACTTAGGTAATGAAAAATATTCATCTTCAATGATTGAATCCTCAACATCATTTAGGTACAGAGGCATTAAAAAAGAAAATCAAGTACATTACATTTACATATGAATTTAACCAAAATAAAATCCAAAGTCAATAATATAATGGCCATTTAGAACATTTCCACCTTTTAGGGTTTATCGTAATTATTATGTAAAACATATAGCCGCCGCCAATCATGATTCACAAATGCTTTTGATTCTCTTAAGGAAACTTTTTTTTTTTTTTTTTTAATCTTAGGGAAATAATAATAAAATTAAGGGTTCGTAGTTACCTCAAAAAGACCGTGAAGAGCTCAAGCCCAATGAAGTGTTGGGCTTCTGACGGCCCATATTTACAGGCCCATACTAGCCATGACATGGCCCAAAACTGGGTTGGATTTTGAACAGTATAAAAAGCGCGGGGATAGAACAAGCCCGCCAAACAGAATGGAGCGCGCGACAGAGTCCGGTTCCGAGGAAATGCAGGACAGTCATTGCTCGTTCGTTTGGGATGAGAAGTTTCGGCTATACTTCCATTCCAGGTTTCTTTAACTATTCTCTCATCTATTGATTTTGCTTTGCTGACTTTTCATTGCCAAATCATCGAACATTTGTACAACAATCTTTTGGAGAAGGAAACTTGCTATTTCTGAAGTTACAGATGATTTGGAAGATAATTGTAAAGATACAGGATCGAAACGAACATTTTAAGATATCTTTATGGAAAATGTTCGATTGAGGAGTAATCTTATTGTTTTACAGCTTGAAATCACAATTAGTTCGTTGTAATTTTGTTGTATAATATATAACAATTTAATATGCTACCTAAAAACTTATATCGTATATCGCATTGTTAGATGATAAGTACACCGGTACCTTCACACGATTTCTTCTATCCTCTGTGAAATTTTTCGTACTGTTAGTTTGTTATTTCTTTCTAGAAGGATGTTGCTGAATTTCAACAACTCTGCTTCTAAGTTGCCATTTCAAGTGCATTTTCTACTGCAAATTGTTACTTACTTGCATTACTTCCAACAGCAGTGGATTTTATCTCGATCCTGTAGCGGATTGGTACTATAGCAGTCGAGATGGTTCTTATTACAAATTCGAAAATGGAAGCTATGTGCTTCTTCAGTCGAACGAGGTACTGTCAATTGGTTGTTTATATGAGCATACGCCTGCCGTAATCACTGTGGTCTTCTTTTGTTTTGATCTGAGATCACTCTAATTAATTTCTTGCTTTTTGGACATTGTAGCAGGTGAAGAATGTAAGATGTGTCGTGATATCCTGTTAAAGGCGAACCATGCAGATAAGTGTGTACTACCGGCAGCGAGGATCACTCTTCATTTGAGGCCAGTGGACTTGATGGTCTAAATGCAGAGGAACTGATGGAGGCGGACTACCATCAGGTTAGTTATCAAAGCATTTTAACACTCTTCAGCCAATTATACTGCAGCTGCTTGTTTTCAATAGATTTCAAGTTTGGTCGTTGACGAAGAGCTGCTAATTATTTTATTGTTCTGGCCAATAGACCTAATTGATTACAGTTTCAAGTGAAGTTTCATATGCCTGGCTTGTTTTGGACCAGTACTGTGTATGCTTTCGATGATTGTTTAGATATTCCTCTTATCTTAATCCAGCCATTGATATTTATAAAACGCTTCCAGAGCCATTGGTTTTTAAATGTGAATATGCTTACTATTTTCGTCAAACTAGATGATTGGATTAGACTTTTCCTTTGTTAGATCCTCGACATATTCTGTATTTAAATTATATGTCAAGGCATGATAGATCTCTTTTTTGACAGCTGAACCAAAATCACTACTGTGCCCTACTACTTGCCAAGTTTAACCTATCTCAAACGGAAGGTATTTCTAAGCTTCTAAAACTCCACTGCCATTTTCTGCAACACCGTTGATGTTGTTGCTTCCATGACTATGCTTACTTGCAAAAAATTTGTATAGTCGGCTGTGAATTCACATTTGACGACTCTCACTAAATGACGAATGGATAGTTATATGACATATGCTAAGGAAGCTTTATTTTTTTCATCAGCTCTTGATGCGGCCAATGTTGTCTTTTGTATTTAACTGACGAATATGTCCCATTTGTTTTTATTTTTAACTGGAGACACTGAGGTTGGCATTACTGTTCTTGAGCATAAGAATCATCCTACATCTTCAACAACTTATGATGCTAAAAACTGTCTGTCATCAAGTGTTTGTGTGCATTTTTATTATTATGATGAAACCAGAATGACTTTTGTTGTAGTTCAGGCTATGGTAACATAGAGGATAGAGGTGAATGTTACTACGATTAAAATTCTGCAATCATGAATTCTGGTCGAAGAGTGTTATGTGGAGGTAATGTGACTTCACTAGTTGAGAAAGTAATTTAATTACTATTGTGCAACTAATGACTTTGGCTGTGGTTCAGAGGATGATACTCAGAGGATGCAAGGTGAATGGCTTCGAGACAAAAATCATACTATATTGAATCCAGGCGAAAGTGTATTTTATGGAGGTAGTGTAACTCTACTAATTTGCAACCTAGCCTCAAGTTTGGGTTCTGTTGCATGCAATATTTTCGTTCTTTTGTGTCTTATATTAAAAGAAATTAGCACATTTGATCAACTTTTAGATGTTACAGTCATATACAAGTCTAAAATTCTTTTATAAAGTGTGAAGTAATTTGTAGTTCATTTAATTACTTGTACATTTTGAAATTAGAAAATATCAGTAACAACGTTATTAGATATATAGAAATATGCATAAATGATTCCTTTTACTATCAGCATCATACCCTTGATTTAATTAGTAACATTTTAAGCTAGTTAACAATTTTTAATATCAACATATTGTTTGTTATTTTTCATTGGAGTATTAATTAAAAAAGTTTACGTTATGAATGATATATTTTCAATTATCATTCATTTCACAATTAACTTTATTTTTATTAGTCACACAAAGAAATACTAGTTAAAAAGTCTAGAATAATACAAATGGGTTTTTGTACTTTTATTATAACGATAATATATGTAATATAATTATTTGCTTGCTTTGTTTTATTTTTTGAAGTTGTTTTCTATAGTTGAAGATATTAAAACACTTTTCAATACCTCAAATATCATTTCTTAGTTTCACTCAATTTTAAATTGCGTGATAAGAAAATCAATTTTATATTTAGAATGTTGTTTTATCCCATGTATTAATTCGTTACAAATGACATTTGACAAGGAAACTGAGGTGATATACTAATATATAGAGTTGTTAGAAGTATGAGGACATTTTTATGTAAATCATAGTTCTTCTCTACTTACACTTTGGTATAACTTATGTGTATCTATTTATTACTAGTAATATTTAATATTTAGTACTGAAATTAATATATTGACATTAGTTTAGAGATTTTCTAAAAGTAGGCATGACTATTCACAAAATGTTTTTTCTTCACTAGCCATATATATTATGGATATACACATCTCATTATTCTATTACCAATTATCATGCTTCTGAAATCTTTACTACAGTCTACTCTATTGTCATATATGTAATCTCTTGCGAGACTTATAGAGGGATTAAAAGATGTTTGGATCTATAATATACTATATCGAATATCTCATCCATGTTAAATGGTTTTCTTTGGCTTCTTTTGAAGGTGTTTCGATGGATGAAATAACTGGAAAGCCCCGTATGTTGAAGTCGCACATTATGGGAAAGAAACAATTCCCAAACTCTCTGTTGTGGACATCTGGGACTGGTCGACAGTCTCAGAGTCCAGAACAGGGGAAAAGGCCAAAGCTACGAGGTTGGTTGAAAAACTGGTGAGAAAGTCTGCAAAGCTTCATCTTTCGGTTTCGCCAATGTTGCTCTTCTTAAAACAGCTCCAATATGTGAATCACATTTATTAGATTTGGTACAAGTTGCAACAAGGTGATTTCTAAATTCTGGGTCATTCTCTACAAGTTTTTCTTTTTCTTACCATGTTATGACCACCCAAAATTTACTTTCAGGGAAAACCTACAACCTACAAAGTCCTAGTAAGAGGTAGTTGGGCTCCATGTAAGAAAAAGACTGGAGTTTCCCTGATTTAATAGATGGCCAATTGATCTTTGCTAATAACGAGGCAAAATGTGCGGCTGCATCTACGTGTTGGTAGATAGTCTCTCTCTGCGTCTGCAAAGGTAAACTTCATACTACAGATCGAATCAATATCGCTGCGACTCTGTTTGACAAGTTTTGGACAAGTTTTTTTATGAGTCGACTGAGCATGACCAAAACTTGTGTACAGAAGTTAAAAGCAAATAAATTAGCCGAGAGAAGAATCCTTCACGGTGGTTTAGGGGTGGGTCTTGGACCGAAGGATTCATCGCGGTGATAAAACATTACCACCCCCTTCTGGCTATTCCGAGAGCACTGCAGCTGAAACCTTGAATATTTCAGTTGGCGCTGGTAGTTACGCACGACAAATCTAAACATGCTTGCCGTGGAAAGAGGTTTGTTAAGTCTATCCTTAACACTTTAATGAAGTGGTTCATATGATTTCCAAAATTTAAGTTCCTATTTAATAATGATATTTTAGTAGTTTACTGCTTTGAAAATTTAATTTTTCTTTTTAATATTTCTTCACCGTAGTTTGATCAAAATTGTATTTCTAGTTTTATTTTTTGAAAATTGTATTTATTTGATTACTTTCTTCACTATCGTTTTCATTTTCTTTAAGAACTATTAGAATTCTTAGTCAATTTTTTTAAAAATAAGCTTTTATATTTTTTATCTCAGAATTTTGAAATTATATTTTAGTACGACAACAAAATAGAAACAAACTAAAAATAAAATGGTTAGAACTTCTTAGTCAAATTTTAAAACCAAAAATAAGTCTTTGAAGTTATATTTTTAGTTCAGAATGGACTTGGATTTTGAAATTATATTTAAAAAGTAAGACAACAAAATAGAAACATACCAAAAATAAGAGTTATCATTACTACAAATTACATCATGACAAAAAAACGAAGGTTTAAAAAGTAAGACAACAAAATAGAAACATACCAAAAATAAGAGTTATCATTACTACAAATTACATCATGACAAAAAAACGAAGGTTTAAATTAGAATATGCAGTATCTTTCATATTTCTCTTATGGAATGTAACGATATTCATAGGCTAGAAACGAAATGTTAGAATGTGGGAAATTAAACGTAATATACAGGTACAAAATTTAGAAAATCTATTTGATCTCAGCTTTCAGCATCGCCGGAAATAACCACCTCATCTGTGGGTGGCTTCTCGGCAAGGGGTGAATCAACTTTATTCTCGACCGTTGGACTCTTCGGCTGCTGTAAAGCTTCCTTGAAGCTTTGAAGCTCCCGATCCTTCTCTGCAAGCTTCTCTTGCAACACGATAGCCTAATTCATTGAATACGAAAAAGAAACTGATAAATATAGAAATTGATTCAGAAAGTGACCAAAAAATATAACACGGATGATGAGCGTACCAATTCGTTTGACCTTTCAACGTCATTTGTCAGCCCCTCCATATGTTTCTGTAAGGCTGCATAGATTTGTGGTGTTAACATTAGTTTAGCAGTCAAAAGTCATTTTTAGTGTTCTTTTAAAAATCTTGTGCTTGATAACAAATTAAACATCGTTCAACCAGCTTGATTTATGATAATTTTAAAATAGTTACTTTAAAGTCGGATTATGAAAAGAAAGTGACTCTAAACGAAAATTAAAGTGCTTATTAATTATTCATGAAAAAATCGCAATAACTTGAAGCATGCAAACTGTTCCAGATCTGAACTTCAGAAAGTCGTGCAACAAAAATGAGTATTTAATGATAGATACTGACCTTCGTACTGATTTCTAAGTTCCGTATTTTGAGATTTCTGCAACGCGAGCTTTATTCCTAACTCATGCATCTGCAGTCGAGGGCGAGGCGAATGATTGCACAAACAAATGAAGTAAAATTATCACATGATACCGGGGGCACAATTTATCTTTCAAAACTCACCCTCCTAAAAAAAGCTCCATTTGAAAAAACTCCATAAAAGAGGTGAATGAACATAGAGTAAGTCCACAACACGACGTAAATTAGGGACTATACCTTCCCTTCAGCAGCTTGATTTCCTATCTCTTCATTTTCCTCTTGCAGAGTCCTACATTTAGCCATCAGCATTTTACCCATCTTGCTTGATGGAGTAAAACTTACTGCGGCAATGTTATCTTGCAGCTCCTTAACCTTTTTGTCTTTCTCCTCAACCAAACTCTGCATGTCATGACAAAGTCAAATAATTAATACTCAATTCACTAATTATGATTACGAGTTTATGCTGTTATCATAGAATTCAAATATAATATTTCACTCACAAAGATGGCTCCTAGCAACTTTGGCTTTACTGTTTCACTTTTTTCCAATTGGTCAAAAACTACTTTTCAAAACAGTTCTGACAAACCCCCCCGACTCTCCCTTGTAATTCACTCACATAGTAACCCCCTCTCAAAAAGTTTGTGGTACCGCCTAGGATCTTTTAGCATCCACCCTCCATTAAGTTTAACCATGAACAGAACATGAAGAAAAGATGGATAAATGACAAATGCTAAGATCTGGTCAAATTCCCATTCTAATTAAGCTTTTAAAATATCTAGCTTGAATGAAAAGATGAGTACAAAGCGAGGTATCAACCATACATATCAAGATTGGTAGTTCATGTAAAACAGACCTTCAGACGAGTAAACTCTTCATGTATTGCAGGATCTATCAATAATCTTCTAGCCTGTTAAAGTTAGTTGTAAGCAAGTAAGTTAAACCTGGAGACATAAGTGATTTCCAAACGAGAAGACAAAAGGTCTACATACAAACACAATGAAGTACTGAAGTAGAAGTTTTCTACAACTGACATTACACATCACAACTAGCACATTTGCAATTTATCCTAAATGAAACGAAAATAGATAACAATTGGCCCACCTCCACCTCAAATTTTCAGAGAGGCCTTGACCCAAGGTCAGCAGATGACAAAGATTTTCAATAATAGGGATTTACGCCCAGAGGATTGAATTTAGGACCTCGGAAAGAATATCTAAACATACGAAGACCTTCAAACTAGGGTCACCTTGGGATTGTCAAAATGGTTAGTCACCTTTCTCCTCACATTTCAGAGATTTCTAAGACCTTTCAGATATAAATTCACGGTTTCATAGCTTAACAACAATATATATAAAACAACAAGAACAACCATATATCATATTCTCATCAATCAACTCTAGCATATATAAGCAGATCAATATCTTGCTTCGAACATTATTTATATAAGGAAAAACTGAAAGGAAAAAACAGATTAGAAATGTTTATAAAAGTACATGAAAAGTCAAAAAGTTGTGCTACGTTGTTCACAATATCCAATCTTAGTACTATGCACTTCTACCAAACCGAAATTAAAGCGTCATTAGTACCTGCATGGATGGTGGCTTCAATTGTGCTTTCAAGTCCCGGACTGCAGCCTGGATATTTTAACAATATTATAGATGCCTGATCTTGGAAGTACTCAGAGTAATTAAAATTGTAACAGCAAATGAAGAGTTTCATAAATCAATCCAAAAGGAATTGTGAAACAAAATGCAAGCAGTAGAGTAATAAAGGTGAAAACATCTCCATTTCATACATCACAAAAAGCATATCAGAATTGTAAGCATCTCGGACGAAGCCATATTAGCAATTACAGACTTAGCAGTTCTGTTTTTTACTAAACCTAGCGTCATGTCTTGAATATGGATTAGGAAGCTTCAAGGTATCATGTTCAACTGCCTTTTACTTCGCGCAAAACTTTCACACAAAACTAAGGTTCCAAAGTTCAAATTTTATTAACAACCCTATACCACCAAGGTTGATTAAGTCCTATACGTTAATAAGTGCTGAAAATCATGCACGACAGATGAGAGATATTCCATTTTCATCAACCAAAATCTTCACGTATTTCAAAGTGGAAACAAATAAAATTTTCTGCCTCGAGTCTAAAAGGAAAAAGATGCAGAACTTGCCTTCAACTCTGCAATCTCCTGCTCTCGTTTTGCAAATGTAACGATAAAAGCGGCTTCCTTCTTCTTTGCCTTTTCTAGCTGAAAGATGAAACACATTTTACATTTTGCATGAAAAAATATCAGATTCCTGATTGAATCTACAAAACCAAACATTAAAAAAAAAAATCGGAAAACCTGGTCTCTTAGAGACTCCTCCGAGAACTTCAGGGATTGCAGAAAGCTGATCACAAACTTAGGTTCTGCATCGAAAGATCAATTGTTTTAAGAATGAGCAGGTCATAGAGGATGAACAAAAACGAGCATATCTCAGAGTTCAACAAACCAGGGGAAGCACCAGCAGGAATGAAATTCTCATTCTGAAATGAAGAAATCCACTTCTGAATCTCAGACTTGGCAATTTCAAGCTCTGTCTGAAACCAAGGTAAATCCAACAAGTAATTAAGCATCGCATATGAGCATCCTTGCATAATGCTTCAGTAAAAAGAAGTAGCTAACCAAACTCAAAGGTAGAATATGGTAGTAGACAACAGATCATAGCGATTTCAAAAAAATGTGAAACTAGACAATGATACCAGCTTTAACTCCAGAGCCTCGACTGAGGATTAATAGATTACTAAATAAACACGTTTTTTTCAGCTCGAATAATATGTTAATGGATTGCAAGCCTCTTACATATCAAGTTTACAACTCTAGTTGATTATGACATTAGATTCAAGTAGGATTTTGGTTGTTATTCTGATTCTATAGAATTAATGTAGATTAGATCTCTCTACATAATCATAAACTATTAAACCATGTTAGGTTATGTTTTTCGTTAAGTTTTGAAACACGAAATAGCTAAATATTAGATTCACAAGGTGCCGTATATCAGGAACCAAAAGACATAATAACAGAATTTCTAATGTTAGAAAGAAGGCATCTAATACAAAGATTCATCGGACAGATGGATCTCCAAGCAAAACTAAGCCGAGAACTGAACAAACGCTACGAATAGACAGGCAATGAAGAATGAAGACATGGAGATATGATGAAATAACTAAAACCATACCCGGCATGTTGTGAGTGTATCCTCATAGCTTTTAAGACTGCACACGAGGTTTCAGAATATATAAATATACAAGGAACTTGAAGGATCGCTTCCTTTGAACAGTGCACGATATAGATATTCCGTAACATTTACCAATCACCGAAAATGATTCAATACCTCTCACGAAGTGACAGAATCATTCCTGTCGCTACACCTGGAGCAGTTTCTTCGACTTTAGCGTTAGCCTACATTGAAGCAATTAGATTAAGCCGCAAGTTAACATCATAATGAACAACAAAATAAGTAAAAATCGAAGTAGTAACTTAAGTTCAAATAAAAAACTCGAGAATCAGGTCGTATACCTTTTTGGAACCAAATAAGTCATCCTCTTCATCTTCGAGATCGCCAAAACCTCTCTTATTTCCTAAATTTTCATGAACATAGCACAAAATAAACATCAGTGAACAAATGCCAATCACACACCAGCGATTTGATGCAAAGAATGCGAAATCAACCTGAATGCCTATTGTTGTGCGTTCCAGTGAAGTCGCCTCCAAAATCATCATCCTGAAAGAATTAAGACATCAGAGAGAAACTCCATGGAACAAACACCTAAAACTCGCGTGAAAAGAAAATCGAGCGGTGAAAATAAAACGGAGGAACTTACCTCCTCAAGATGACCGTGCGATGCCATTATAGCAAATTGCGCTTCTCACCAGAGAACTGCAACGCGCGAGACCACTATGACAATAGCGAGGGAAACTAGCAGAGAGAAATAAATCCAAAAGGATGGACGATGTCACGCCTTATGAATCGTAGCGAGGGACGGATTCCTTCGTTCTAATTCAATTTCCCTCCTTTTATCCAAAGGCCGAGTAACCGTCAACAATTAGGCCCATAATTAGAAGCCCAGTTTAGTAAGTCCACCGGCCCATTATAATACCATAAGCCCAGTTTAGTAATTCCTTCGTTCTTCTTCTATTTCCCTCCTTTTATCCAAAGGCCGAGTAACAGTCCAAAGTTAGGCCCATAATTTAGAAGCCCAGTTCAGTAAGTCCACCGGCCCATTATAATACCATAAGCCCAGTTTAGTAATTCCTTCGTTCTTCTTCTATTTCCCTCCTTTTATCCAAAGGCCGAGTAACAGTCCAAAGCTAGGCCCATAATTTAGAAGCCCAGTTCAGTACGTCTACCGGCCCATTATATTATTAAAGCCCATAAGCCCACTTTAGTAATTCCTTCGTTCTTCTATTTCCCTCCTTTTATCCCACTTCATACATATTTTTAACATTTTTAAGAATTTCAATATAAAACATTTAGCTTGCTTACACGGAAATTCTCTGCAATGAGAGCAATACGAACTGGCACCATCAAGCTTTCACAAGTGATAAATTAGCAACTGCACAATCTTTCATGTAAGTTCGAATATAATTATGAAAACTTAAGATGTAGAGCAGATGGATACAACTAATAAAATCATAATCGTGTAAAATAATGCACATAAAGCAAATCAGACACAACGGGCATACAACAGGTCATATGATTATGTCTTCTTCAACTTCAATTTTCAAATATAGAGCCTTCACACTTCACAGTAGTCAGAGAAGTTCTGGCAGATGTTGAGATCAGTACCCCATAATAAAATGTCAATTGCAAGACATTCCATGTCATGAAGAAGGGCTATGCCCGTCAATCTAATGCATATTCAATCATTAGTAGCCTCCAACCTTATTTCCTCACCTGCCATACGTGATGCATTTGGTTAGGAATTCTCTCTTACATAACATTAATTGTGGTGCGGCCATAAAATAAACCAAAACAGTAAACAACTTGTTATGCATAGAAGTTAATAGTGTTATCTCAATATCATAAACCAGAGAATACGAAACATAAGCAGCAGACACCAAACATTAAACTTGAATACCTGAAAACGAGGAGATCGACGCAAAGAAAAGGCAGATCCAGGGGATTGGATACCTGGTTTATTTCCAGGTAAAAATTTCTTAGAACGATTGTTAGTTTCCTCAGGTTGAACATGGTTATCAATTTCTTGAGTTGAAGATTCACTTCCGTCAGTTGATGATGACAAACCAGGAGCTGACAAAGATATCATCGTTGAGTCTTGATGCAGATACAGTGCTTCGGCTCCAACTCCTTTTGAATAAGAAAAATATGACAAACAATTAGTGCAGAACAGATTGAACCCAACAAACTTCAAGAGGCACAACAAAAAGTGATCCGGGTCGTATGTATATTAACTACCAATGATTTTTCTGTGAAGTGAATAGCACCTTTCAAGCAGTAAGTTACAAATTCAGTGCGTACCTTCTGCTGCAGCCTCTTGGAACCTCCGTCTCATGACCTTAACGAACTTGAATAAACCATTTGTTTTATTCAATTCATGAATCAATTCTTTAATATCTCGCAAGGATGGGGTACAATCTAACACTGAAAGTTAAGAAAGAAAAAACTAGGGGTGTCAGAACTCAGAAGACAATGAGCATGACAAAACAACGTATTTTAAGTGCACAAAACTTACATGTATAAGTATCATTTGCATGACGAATGGTAAAAGAATATTCTTTATCAGGATTGTCCTTGATGATTTTCTTGAAAGAAAATGTTACCCCTGAAAGATCGAAAAAAAAATTGTCAAAAACTTAATTTCAAGCTTTCATTCACTAAAAATGTAAAGATTCTTGAAGGAAAGAAAATTGAATTATCATACCATGTCCTCCTTCAATATGAAAACCCAAAACTCTATTGTACCAAGAAATAGCCTCTTGTAAATCACTTCTGCAATCGCTTTCTTGGGTTTCCTTGTGTTCAGAAGAAGATAAAGCTTTGATAGCATTGAAGAGGGAGGGAGAAGCAATTAGTTTTTGCATAAAAATATTGAATTTGGAGATTTCAAGGATGTGAAGTAAGAACTTGCAGTTACGTAGTAACTAAAGAATGCAGTATGCATTACTGTTGAGTTCCAAGCAAGACGTTTTTTTATTACAGGCAGCAAGGTGCATGAAATTATTTTCTACCCAACGTACTTAAGAAACAAACAATGCAGAGAAAAAGCATAACCAAGTTGCTGAATTCATCTTGGAGGAACCATGTGAAATTTGCACAAAGATTGGATTTGAAGGCTAGCGATAACAGACCTAAGAGTGAGCATTCGAAAATAAATTAAGCTCACCAACATAGTTTACCTAAGGATTGCTGAGATATAATGTTAGAATATTTATCCCTCTTCGCTTTACAATCTTGTAAAGTATTCCTGAGCTTCTCGATTCTAGATCTTGAAGCTGCAAGGGAGTCTGTGATTGCCAGCCGTTTGGCCTCTTTGCGAGTCTTCACTACAAAAAAATATGCAAGTATAAAGGTAATCAGCCTTTACTGTGTATGCTAATTTCAAAGTAAGAAATGATACCAGCATCACAAACACCAACGTTTCGCCCATCACTCGCTCCAAATCCAGCGTTAAATGAAAGTAGCATAGTCTAATTCATACCTGCTAGAGCTTTAACCAATTCATCTTCCGCCTCCCTCAGCCTCGCCTTTAGTTCTCCCAGTTTCACTGAGAATTCAAAAAATTAAAGATCAAACAAGAAATTTCAGAGTATGTTTTGGGGCTGTAGAATTACATTCATTTTGAGTCTTAAACGCTATCCCATTCCAAAGCCCTAATGATGACTTCACAAACACTTGTACTACCGACTAAATTGTTGCACTGGTCGCAGTGAAACGATTTCACACCAAATTCTTACAAATTCAATTGAATAGAATGGATGGCTCACCTTGACTTAGGGCATTTTCTTGCGACTTTGCAGAGATCGATTCCAGAGACTTGCGAAATGAAACGGCGAAGGACTCCATCTTTTCCAGCTGGAATGGAATTTCCTTTTCACGAACCATTCGAAGGGACTCCATCTTCGCACGAATTGAATCTTCCACCTTGTTCTCCATTCTTTCACAGAGAAGAAGAGTTACTGTACACACTCTTCGCCTTCGCCCGCCAAATTTGCTTCGAAGTTCAAATTCTTTTCATGAGAACCTCGACGACGATGATGGGTGTAAATGGGCTACGAAATGATTGTCCGAACATCTACAAGCGTGTCCAGTTGGACCCTCGGTTTAGTGTAGCCCATAACAACTTTGGGCCGAAATTTCGCCGGGCCGTTTTCGTTGCTCTATGAGCCCATAAACCCAATCTCAACTTTCAATTATTTTTTTTTAATCTCCAACGGTCGAATTTTTCCCTATCTCTTTATATATTTTATAGAAAAATAATTGAAAAGAATTTTTATGATAGATAATTGTTAAAAAATGTAATATATATATATATATATAAAATGAGAAGGGTGGGGACATCAAACAAATCATTAAAATGAACCAATCAAAACAAAATAAAAAGCTTTTAAAAGTAAGAAGCAAAAATTGACCCAATTATGTGACGTATAATGAAGAATAAAATACTTTAATTATTAATTATTCAATGGAAAACTTTCACTTTGAATATTGATTTAAGTGACAAAATAATTAATAAGAACATTATAAAAAGTTTCCATATCAACTTAGGAAGGGACATCTTCCGAATTTTGAGGCTTGTTGTGGAGCTAAAATGGGACATCCATTCTTTATTTTATAACTCTCACATTTCCTCAATTATTGTCCAAACAACCGATCTAATTGCACATTTTTTAATTTTCCAATATATATATATATAAGTTTTCAAGTTCATATATGATATGGTTTAATATTCATAAATTATTCATTAAAAAGATAGGGTAAGTATATATAATTAAAAAAAATTATCAATTTAATTTTGCTGTTGGACTGAATTAATAAAACTATAAGATCTCTAAGTGTATATAATTAAAATCAATTTTATTACTCCGTTAAAAAATTTTAGTATTTATTTCGACTATTAATTTTGAATTTTGTGTTTGAATTTTTAAATTTTAAATTTTAAATTTAGCATTTCAATTGTATTGAATGATTAAAAAATATTAATATCGGTTACATCTCATACCCTCCTTTTACATGTTTAAGATAAAATTATTGGTTAATAATATGTAATGAAGAAATTGAATTTTAGTAATAAAAATGAAAATAAAGAAGAGCATAATAATTAAAATAAAATCCACGTCAGGATCACGAGACAAGCACAAGGACGGATGACTTCCTTCTAATATAAACCCCTAAAATCTAAATCATGATTCCAAATTTTGGATCGGATTGGATTGGCTCTTCTTTACTTTATCTACATAGCACATGGCTTCTTCAAAATTTCTACTAAAGAATCAACTTTTCACCTCATCATTTTGTCAAAAATAAATAAATAAAACAGAGTAGTGCAGCAGATTCTCAGCCATTCGCATCCGTTTTTTTTTTTTTTTTTTTTTTTTTTTTTTTTTTTTTTTTTTTTTTTTTTTTTTTT